ACAGTCCTTGAGTTTGATCAAAAAATAAAAACTAACAATATCAAAGAGCTAGTCTCAAACAATCTTCCTAGTTTAGGTTTGATAATCACGAACAAATGAAGTTTTTATTTTTCAGAAAATTTTGACATCGTCGAGTCTATCTTTGGTTTTTTTTACCTTTTTACAATATTAAATGAGAAGAGTTTTTTTTTTAAAAAACGAAAAAATAATATATGTTTTTGATTTTTTTAGATTTAAGAATATCTTTTTTTTTCTTACAGAAATTTTCCTAGTTTGATGTTTTTTCTTTTGTCAAAAAGTTTGATGTTTATTTCCATATAATTTAAGTAAGGATATAATTGAGCATTTTCCTATTCTAAAACCTAATATACCAAACTTAAAAAAAGAAGGCATAGATGGACAAATTTTAAAAAATACATCCTTTAAAATCAATTTTCCCAAAAAAAAATCAACTTAATGAAGAAGAGACGAACATATATAAAACATTAATTAATGGACTAATTATAATATATTTTCTATAATTCATTGTTTCGTAGTGGAATTTTTGTCATCTCTGCTAGTGATTACTCATGATACACTAGTACGATCTATTACTAATGTTCTGTTATTTACTTAGACATTTTTTGTATGCATTTTGTTAATATTTATAAATGAGATGCCATATAGTATATCTGTATATATGAATATAAAAGTAGCTGGTATATAATAAAACTAATAACATGTGTTGTGACATCTCATGTATGTTGTATAATAATCCATTTGTAACATATGATTATGTATATAGATAATAATAAAAATGATTATGTATATATTTTTTTATAAATTGTAATATAATTTGTGTTATTTGTTTGTAGGGTATTTTCACGAGTTGTGTTGGTCACCTATGATTAGTTATTTTATAATATATAATTTATTTGATAAAATATTACAATTTTAAAACAAAATTATATATATTCTGCGACATAAAACTTGTATTCAAAATAACATGTTATGCTATATAAGTTGTTATTTTGTTTTTGTAAGTTTACATTCCACTATTGCAAAATTATAACTAATAAAAAGCATTTATACGTGTTTTATAAGAGTTTTTGTAATCATACACTATGTTAGATTTTTTGTTGTGAGGATATCAATTTGATATATTATTATTATTTATAAATTTGACAAAAATAAACTTTAAAAAATAATATAAATTACAAGAATGCCTCATAAGACATCATTCTAAAACCTCGTATTTTTCAGAAACAATATTATTAATCAGGACCAGCTAGTTAGTGTTATTATTTTGCAACATTTACAACTGGTTTTTTTTTATCAACAATATTTAATAATGGATGCTTACAGAGTAACACAATATTAATTTTCTTCTTATATTTAATTTTTTCCCCAAAACATGTTATACGGTGGTGAGCTCTATTTTTTTTGTAGTAATTTATCGTGAATGGAAACTCCAATCATATAAAAAATTTGCCAAAAACTGCAATAATGTTTTAGGCGAAAGTCATATTTATCAAATTTACCAAAACAAACTACAATAATGCTCCTCATACTTGACAGATAGATAGATAGTCGACGTGAAAACAAAACTCAAATAATAGTAAAAATAAAACTGGCACCACACCCATATAACATACCGTATAATTTATAACATGGCCCTTAATAATACCAAATAATAAAAGATTGTATATGATTCTGATTAGTACGTGAAAATAATGCAGAAACAAATGGTACATTCACGATTTTTACAAATTTAAAACAATATCACATTTTGTGGAGTAAGGATTTATTTTCGGTATTACCCCGTTTTGTAAAACTGTTGTCCTAATTTTGTTCATAAACTAAATATTTAAGTGGGAGACTTGTATTACTACCTGTGTTTTTTGGCCACCTAGTACTGCTTTTCTATTTAATAATTTATAACCTCTTTTCACTAGAATAAAGATTATAACTTTATCATTAGATTCCATGTATTTCCACTAAATTAATCCGTCATTATTCACAGACACTTGACAAAAACAAATAGTTATGAAATTATTAGCAACTTGCAAAGTGGAACCAAACATATCTGTTACTATATATATTTTTTCTTGTCAGTAGTCTATGTACATTATCACATCTTCTTCAAATACTATTATCTTATTGTATATAAGAGAAACATGCATATAACGGAAACTTTTGCTGCCAGAAATAAAATCTAATTAAAAAAAAAAGAACTTAAGAGAGATCTTAAATCGAGCAAAATTAGATGTAGTCCATCCCTAGATATACGCATCAATATTGTATTGTAACTTACAGCAGTTACAGCAACTTATCGGGTGTTGCTCCCTGCAGCGTTACATATAAATTGTCATTCGAGTAGTGAATTCTAAATAATGTATTCGTTTTTTATTATCTTTTGGTTACTACAAAAGAAGCTTATTAGTTACTCACTTCTATAGTTTTGTATTTTAGTGATTGTTATAAATCGATTTCTCCTATCATATATTATTGGTCACTGCAGTATTTGTATAATTAATGACTATATATATATATATATATATTCAAAGCCGAACTTGAACATTTGAACGCATGAACATGAAACATTACAATGGGATTTAAGTTGTTGTAACCTTTTTTATAATGTTATTGTATTTAGTTTTTAAAACCAAAATTTATGTTATCTAGAATATATTTTATATACTATGAAAAACGATGCAACTTTTTTTTTTTTTTAATAATTTCGTATGCGGTCTTAAAATTTCGTTGGTACGACTCTAGCTATATTTAAAGAATTATTAGGCTGGTCTTCTTTTTATATAATTAGTTTCTTTATTATATCAAATGCACCTAATGGGATCTTACGTAAATTTTCAAAGAAAAAAAGAAGAAGAAGAAATCTTATACTAGGTAGCGTAGTCATATATCACAACCTGCATGGAAGCTAGCTACATGTATATAGTATTTGACTTCAGCCATTGTTTAAAATATGATTAACACGATAAGTATTTCTGTTATAAAAATAAAGCACCTCGAAATTGACCACGATGTATGAACAATACTTTCCATGTTCATACTTTGCATGTAATAAGATAGTGAAATATTTGAATGTGATGCGACAATTTTTTACGTAATATTGTTGTTTTGGCAAAGTTGAATGTGATTAGAATCGTATCCTCCGCTAAAATCACAGTTTCAGATTTTGACAGAAAACTATTGAATCACGTTTTCGTGACAAAGTTGTGGAGTTGTATTTTCACATAAATTTACATATTTATGTATTTGATAATGATCTAAGAAGATATGGAAATCAAGTTTTTGTTTTTATTATCAAAAAGTAATTGGAACATTTAAAACAATACATTTAAAATAATACAATTAATATCAATTTCATATTTGTTTGTTTGTTAGTTTGTTAATAATTATAAAAAATAATACAAGTAAAGATTGGTCTATAACAAAGTTACAGGTAAAACAAAAAAAAAAAAAGTTACAAGTTATTTATTACCTTCAAATGACACGCTAATATGGAATGGCATGCTTGTTAATATCACATGTGAAAATATATATTTTATTTACAGTATAGCCAACTCTGACTCAAGATTTGACTATACTGCCTAATTAACCTTTTGCTAAATTAAGTAAGTAACAATGGTTTTTCTTTTATCAAAATAGTAAAATACAATCATTTGGATTGTTAGACACACATGAATTTCAGAAAAAGTAACATGTTATAATCTCAAACGACATATTATATTAAGTAATGAACTTTTTAAAAGTTAACATCCTATGTAGAGAATCTAACATGCAGTTTGGTCGTATCATTTTATAAGGTAATTAAAGCACAAATTAATAAAGATAACATGATTATGTGAAACGTAAGAAAATAGTACACTATATTATAAGAAACTTTTTAATGGATGTCAAACAAAAAAAACTTTTTGCAACTTGATCATTAATTTCAATATCACAATGTAAGTAGCGTCGTTATTTACTAATTAAAATTGGAAAAGAGGCAAAAGTATATATATTTAATTTGTTCGTAAGTGTTATATCTACCATTCTGATTAGGTAGATGACGATCGAAAAAACACTATAAGTTTTCTATTTTTTGTTTAATTTCGTATGAGATAATAACCATTGTATTGCCAGTGTGCAAATAACATTGTATAGCTAGTTGTAATATAATTATTGCAGAGTGCATGTGAGTTTCAAATGTGAATGTTTATAATATTGTATCAGTGGTCAGTGGTTGATTACCAAGACACCAAATTAAATATTATCCCTAGAGACCTTAAAATAAAGAATCAAATCGAATAGGCAGATCTTGGTTGGCTTGGCCGTAATCAATCGTCATAGAACACAACAAATCTTAAAGAAGTTATATATATTCATTTCAGTCTTGTTCATGCATATGTATAAAGATTTTTAAAATATATCTAGTGATCATTGATGAAACGAATTTGTTCAACGAAAAAAACGTGCGAGGATTGATAAAAGAGAAATACACATCTAGCTACCAAGTCTAGTCTTACTACTCTCTCGCTGTCTCCAATGTTTTTACCAAAAATATTTGATAAATTTTATACCAAACTTAACAACATATATGTTCTTTCAGAAATGGGTACTTCATTTTTGAAAATCATTGAAACTGACCCATATCTTATCGTGATTTAATTAAAAGTCTTTTTATATTTTTTTGTTTTGAAATGGTTCCTATAGAATATGGATTGCCATTTGCCCCCGACAAGAACATCATTTGCATGTGGCTATATCATTATTTGGTGTTACCAAATTGAAACTAATAGTATGTCATTATTAAATTCCAGTTGCATTTAACTAGTATAGTAGAAGTTTCTTTTTTTGGGGGGTCAAATTCACCAAAATAGTAGTAATTAACTCAAACCGGATGAACATTTTGCTCTCATGATCAAACTATATATCAAAAATTTAAAATGTCAGAAAAAGTCAAATAAATCAACAACACCATAGTGGCAGAGTATAATCAGATAGAGAAGACTTTGCTCTCAAGATGGATGAAAAAAAGGTTTTGGTTTTTTTTTTTTTTTTTGAAAAAAACCTTTTTGATCAGCTAATTATGGTTTCTAAATGTTTTTTTCTTGAGAGCTAACCTATTTTGGAGATTAAGGGAAAATCCAACAGGCTTCTAAAGTGGTATGATAAAACCCAAAGCATGTACATGCATGTTGAAACAACCAAGTATGGAAGTACAACACTGACTGTCGTATAGCAGAGAATTAGACCAAGGCGTTTAGTTCAAATACTTGGGTTTGGTCTTGGTACATCATTTTACTCATGTCAAAATCCTGCGACTTTGAGTCATTTCTTAGATCTCTTTTATTATTTTTCTTTACAAACAAGCAACTTTATTAACTTTACCAGCCTGAGTAAAAATTTATAAACAAAATAGTCTAGAGACTTTATTCAACGACCTTATTCCTAGCCGTCGAAACATAAAACAGTACGAGAGAGACATAGAAGCATCACAGAACACAACTATATGTTTTTTTCTGATCAAAGTATTAAAGGGTTGGGTTCTCCGGTGTGAACTTGAGAGAGATACTGTTCACACAGTGTCGTTCATCAGTTGGAGTAGGGAAACCTTCTCCTTTAAAAACATGACCGAGGTGTCCTCCACAAGCCGCACATGTAATCTCAACTCGTCTCCCATCTGGATCAGGCTGAGTAAAAAACATAAAAGGTGTTTTCAGCAATCAGTTTCTCAAATCATGATATCCAATGATAAATGATCTCTTGATTGAGAATCTTACGGTTCGGTTTATGGCTCCAGGGAGTCCGTCAAAGAAAGCTGGCCAGCCACAACCGGAGTCGAATTTGGTGGTGGATTTGTAGAGAGGAGTTCCACATCCTGCACAGCAATAGACGCCATCTTCGAATAGTTTGTTGTATTCTCCTGTTCCTGGATATCTAAATTAACATGTGTCGCCGACACCATTAGAAAAATGTTATCGAAAAACTCTACTTCAATCGATATAAACCACAGAGACAACTAACTTCTAATCAGACTCCATTTGCTACTTGCTGTCAAAGTTGAAAGAACCAAAAAAATGATCAAAGTAAAACACATGACTAAAGAACAATGTCATGTTCACACAGAGCATTCCCTCCTAAGCCAGTCCTAAAAGTGAAATTCATAGCAACTGAGACAGCCAAGTGGAACATCATCAACAGAGATCTAATGCCAGCCACAACATGCGAAAAACTTGTTTCGATTCTCGAATCTTTCAGAAGCCTAGTAAATTCCCAAAGATTCATATCACAGTAACCAATAACCATAGCAACACACTTGTGCATCATGATTTCAATGCAGGACAATCTTCTAAAGACAAGACCTTCTCTCACATGTAAATATCTGGCATTAGTACTAGCTACAATCATGAACATACATTGATAATCAAACTCCACACTAACAATCAAATCCAATCTAAAAGCAATACATGCAAGAACACTATTCTTAATCCAAAACACAAAAATAAAATTCCCAAAATTGAGCAACGAAAACACACTTACTCAGTGCCTTTCTGCCTGAGAATCCTGAATTGTTCAGGAGATAGAATCGCACGCCACTCATCCTCAGGCTTATTGACAGATCCAGGAGCAGAAGAAGCCATGGCTACAATACGACCACCGTGGAAGCCTCGACGGGGAGATGAAAATGACGAAGAGAAAACTAATCGAGTGGCGGCGGTTCTGAGTGCGGAGGAATGAGAAGGTGTAACGAAGGCTGCTTTAATGGTGGAAGTGAAGGTGAGAGACGTGGCTAAAGATAGACGCCCAGGTGCTGCTATGACGTTCAACGCCATTGTTGTTTGCTTTTTTATCCCTTTTCTTCCTTTATTCTTTTTTGCACACAGCTTTCATTTTCCCTTCACTTACACTGTTAATTTGGGCCTTATTTGAAGGCCCTTTAGCCCAATATATTATCCTAAGTTTGGTCAAGTGGGCTATACCACCTTGTCCGTGCTTAGTGCAGCCGGTTCAACACCAACCTCGCAACTGGGGTTAACAGTGAACACTTAGTCCATGTGGTGAGCTCTGACAAAAGAAACATCACAAGTTAAATAGATTCACATGGAAAAAAAGTTGCAACCAACGGCTGGTAAGAGAAGAGTCGTGTTTATTTAAACATGAGCATGCAAATTTTGACCACAATGACCAGAAAAAGGGCTTTTATTTTATTTTAGTATATGTATGATTTGTCAACTCCGTTCATATTCCTCTTTCTCCAACCTTACGCAGTTGTACAGACCGATCAATTGGACGGTTCAATATACCACAAAGCAATATTTTGGATCGAGATTGGAACCAAAATTAGTAAGTGTGTTCTGCTTGAATTATGTATTGGTTTCGTCTTACTTTTGTTCTGCCCATCATCAATTTCATTCGATTTGTGACGATTGGAAAAAGTTTCAGCTTTGAATATTTTCTCTAAATTTTCCTTTTTTCTTGGATTTTTTTTGTTTGTTTGTAGTGTACCCGAAATTGAAAGCTAATCACGAAGCTGGTAAATACAAGCAGAGGAGTTCTTGTCTGAACTCGAACTCTTTCCAATCTCCTGCCTCTGGTAATTTCTCTCTGCTTTTTCTCTTTGAATTTTGACTCTTTTAGATTAAGAACTGGATCTTTTAAGGTTGACTAGGTTATGCTTAGGAACATTGACTTGGTTTTTTTATGGAGAGCAATTCCAATATGTCAAATATATGTTTTTTTTGTTTTTGTTAACAATCCAATCAAATGCAAATTTTTCAGAAGTATCTATTTTTATATTTGTATCTTTTCTCATTTGAACAGAGAATAACCAAGAAGATGATATGCAAATATATGTGGCCAAGATTCCTAAGATTTACATACCTAGTGTCCTCATCTCTGAAAGTGAATCCACCACTGAAATGAATAAACCTATCAGAGTATCTGACATTGAAGTAAAACACAAACCCAAAGCCAGTCCGATCCTACGCCCCCGCGCTGTTGTATCAAGTCCCGGTATGGTTTTCGAGCTGCTTTTCGACCTTTGTTGTCACACAATGTTGCAATTGAAATGTAAATTATGACTCTTTCTTTGGAAATTCTCTTCTTTAGACAATGATGCAATGATCGGCAACATAAACAAGATTGAAGAAAGGAAAGCTAAGAAGGTTTTGAAGAATGGTGATCATATCAAGAACAGAGCTTCTCAGCCTAAGAATGTTAGTACTACCAATGTGAAGATTTCTCATCGTATAGTCGCTAAGCAATCGGGAGTCAGTTCAAAGTGAATCACAAATGATCAAACTTTTTATATTGATGATGCTTCAGCGAGACAGGAACTATATACTTCAGTTACTCTACTCAAATAACGTTTTGAAAACGTGATTCCGCTAGACTAGTTTTTATCATTCTCAACATTTTATTTCCACATTTTGTAAAGTGGTTTGTTATATATATGAGACGCATGTTAATTGAAAAGAAAATGAGAAGTCTGCAAATTTAGTCTTTCATAATCTTATCGAGCTTCTCTGGTTTCACCAAAACCCTCATTTTGCTTTTGTGAGTTTCTTCATCACTATCGTTTTAGCTGGAACATTGTAATTCCAAACATGGCTTCATCAAAGGCTAAGAGACGACTTGTAAATTCATAAAGGCCGTTGTTAAGTCAGGTCTTTTCCTTGTTTTGGTTCTAGAATATTATTGGATTTGGTCTGACCACTTTAACATTGATAGGGATTGACAATGTTTGTGACACCTAAGTCTTGTCCTAGATCTTCTCTGGTACTGAAATAGTATATCCTTGGATACATAAGGAATGGTAATAGTCTCAATTAGCACCAAGAAGTAAAGAGTTCATTCTACACTTCTTAACAGTCCATGTTCTTTTATGATATTGGTGGTTTAAAGGCAAAGAATTCTGTTTTGAAGTTCTACAAGTTACACAAAGAAGTAAATATCAAGCCTTCATCGACATCTTTTAATAAGCTTATTACTTATCTTTATGACTCAAATGAGGTACTTGCACGCTTCTATTTATTTTCGTTTCCGTCACCTCTCTGCAGTTGACTCATGATCGTAGGTAGCCACTGCTCTGGATGTAGCTGAGAATATGCATGAAGCAGGCCAGCCATGTCTACATAGTTTGGAGTCTTTTTGACATGGTACGCTATCTCCTTCAATCTACTGTAAAGAAAGTTGGATTTGGTTGCAATCTAGATCACAAAGATTGTCTTTGACATACTATGTTCAAGCATGAGTTTCAGTGTTTTAGTCCAACTTTTCTCTGTTTCAGGTGAGATGGTCTCTATTAAAGACATCTATAATTGAAGAAACGAAGGCCATGGACCATTCTTTAAGGCCAAAACTGAGAAGATCGAACCACTAATCATATAATTACCATTGTTTTTAAATTCATTTTGAAACATAAACATAGGATTTGGATTGATATACAAACTACACATAACAGTTCGTTGTTTTTTTAAGAGATTACATATTCTTATATGTTTATCTTATCTTAAGAGATTGAGAACAAAGATCGAACTCGTGGGGAACAAGGAAGAACATTATTAAGCAGCTCTTGCAAGAAGCTGAAGTGTTTCAGGAACATTAGAAGGATCAATGAACCTCCTAGTCATAATCCTCTTTGGCACAACAACAGTCAACACACCATCTTCATAACCAGCTGATATCCCGATCATGTCAATAGATTCCGGTAACCTGAACTTCCTCTTGAAACTCTTCGCCGGCGGATCCGTTGATCCAGCCGTCGCCTCCGTTCGTATGATTAAGTATATCGAATCTTCGATCTCAACTTTTATTTCTTCTTTCCTTAAACCTGATTAAACAAACATAACAACAACACAAATACAAAAACCATGAAAAAATCAGGTAAAAGATAATCTTTGTGTGGTGATAAAAGTTACCAGAGTATTTACCAGGGAGATCGACAGAGAAAGTGTGAGAATCTGGAGATTGAGACCAACGAACATGATTCTCTTGGTGGTAGTCATTAAAAGATTGAGAAGACAAAACATATTCCCAAGGCATCACTTGAACTGTCTGAAAATCCATTTTTCTTCTTCTTCCTCTTTTTTTTTTTTTTTTTCTACTGGATTGAATGATTTTGGCTTCGTATTTATAGTAAAAGCAAAGATGACCCCAGTTGAACCATTTGAGCAAGTAGTTGTCTAACTAACTTGAAAAATAAAAGTCGATCATAAATAAAACAATAAATATAAAGCACTTGAAAAGTCGATAATTGGGTTGGTTGGTTTGATATGATTTATATGAAATTCTTTTTTTTTTCTTTAAACTCAAGCAATCTTGTCGACTCACTCACTACTAGTCACTACTACAGCAGTTCTTGGTATTTCTTGAAAAGAGATACTTGCTAAAATACATTTTTCCCGACAAACTTCTACTTTATACTACAGTTATTGTCTTATTGACCACTAGATAATTATATGGTTCCCTTCAAAATAAAACATTTTTAATTTTTAGGTACCTACACTATCAAATATCTATTGAACTTATTTCGAATAGATTTCAAACCACTCGTTTTGCTTCGACCTTTGCAACTTGTAGATAATAAAATAGCCACTTGCCTCAAATAAAATATTTAATTTTTGTTACCGCGGTTTATTTTCCGAAAGAGGAAATTTTACAGAACCGGAAGAGAAAAAGATAGAAAGTACAGGGCCTATCTTTAGTGTATATGTTACTTACTCAATTACCCTCAACTACATCGTTTAATTACATTATTGCCACTATACTCCGAACACGAAACCTTTGCTGGGGTTTATCGACTGGTTTTATGATTCATCGTCTTCTTCTTCGTTTCCGATCTCATGTGAATCCTTGTTTCTAAACGGGAGTGATATCTAGGTATCGATTCGATTTGGGTTAATTAACCTTTTTGTAAATGGCTTTAAAGGCGAAGAGAAGCTTAAGCGCTGTGTTCCGTCTTGCGATGAAAAACTCTACCAGAACTGCTAAACCCGTGGATTCACCAATTCCTGAAACTGGACTAGGTAACGTCTCTTCTTCTCTGATTTTCTCTAATTGGGTCATTTCAAAATCTGGACTTTTTTTTAGTGAATCTCCCTGTTTTGTTGAACAGTGTCAACGAATTTTATGCCGGAGATTCTCTCGTCGCTTAAGTCTTCCGACGATTCGTCCAATACTGGTCACGGTACTGTTCTATGTCTCTCTTACTGGAACCAGAACTGGGTGTTGTCAATAATCATTTTGTGGATGTTTGATTGTTTCCAATTTGGTTCATCATGATTCTGTTGCCTTTGTGTAGGTCTTGCGGAACCTGCACTGGCTGGTCAGATCTCCTCTGCTTTAGATGGTATGTAAATGTAACACCTTCTCTTTTGTTTTTATGAGTAAGGGTGCTTATTCTTTGTCAATGAGCTCTCCAGTGGTACTTCTTTTGGGCACTGTGTAATTTTGATGATTGTTCCAGTTAAACTTAGTGGTAGTAGTCTTCTTCAAGAAAGGAATCGCCATAAAGGTTCCTTGAAGAACGCGTTCGAGTCCTCAGATTTCCTGACTAGGAAAGTTTGTTCGTCGCCAAAGCCGAAACTGGCTTCACGTGGAAGGATCCAGACAGAGAATTACCAGAAAAAGCAGTCGGAGATTATGGCGAAGCTCGCCAAGGGATGTCTTCGGAAGTTGGGCACCGAGACTATGGTTGCTGTGATGAATAAAATGGGAAAAGAAGCGGGTGAGAAAGAATACAACACAATGACTAAACTTTGCATAGCACGCGCGAGGAGTAGCAATGATGCAGAATATGCTCTTGATCAAATTGGAAAGGCTATTGAATATCTCAAAGATATGAGACAACTCGGGTTCGCTATAAGAGAAGCTGCTTATGGGCCTTTTTTTAAGTACTTAGTTGATATGGAAATGGTAGATGAATTCCAAATTCTCAAGGATTTTATCAAGGAGGCAAGTCCTGAGTCTCGTGGGAGACTTGTCTACTATGAAATGCTTCTTTGGATCCAAGTCGGCGATGAAGAGAAGATCCACAAACTTTGCAATGCTGTTGATGATAGTGGGCTAAGTTTATCAATCCTACAAGGTATGCCACACACTGTACATGTAGTATTATATTCATTTAGAATTCTGTTTTTTTCTTTTTAGTTTGCTCCACCCTCAAAAAGTAATCTTTTGGTCATTCAACAGAATATTATTTGGTTGCACTCTGTGAGAAAGACAGTAAGGAAAATCTTCAGAAGCTCTTAGAGATTGTCGACATAACAAAAGTATCTTCACCAGATGCATTGAAAAGCATATTTGAATACCTTGGAAAATCGCTGTCGGAGTCTGTTGCAGTGAGGCTACTCTGGGACCTAAGAGACTGTGGTAAAGGTGAGATATAAATCAATCAAAATAACCTGGTGCTTTTTGCAGACACCGATTCATATTTGATGCAAATTAAATATGAACACTGATGACTCATTTTATAGCATTGTACTTGGTTTCTTGATATGTTCAGATGGAGTGGAGACAGTTTCCAATCTCATATCCAACTATGCAACTTGCATTTCAAATTCAACGGTGAGTACTTGGTATATATAGTACTTGCAAATTTATAGAGGCGGTTATTAACTCTCTAGTATTCTCCTAGATTTGTTTCTTTTCCATCTAGTTTTAGTATTACCATGGTGATTTTTGTTCATTGACAATGTTTCCAAGTCTCATCCTAGATCTTTTTGTTATTGAAATAGAGTGTGTTAAATCGCTTTGCTCCCAAGTGTTCTGTGAAAAAGTAACGTCAATCCTTGGTCCATTAAGATCTTCTAGCTAAATATATTCTCTCTTCTCACCTTTTGGTATTTAATTACTTAACTTAGTGTTGACCACATATACATTGACAATTGTTTTTCCTCCCGACAATGATAACTGATATATCTATTAGAGTCTCTCAAAATTTTTACATGATGTTTTATATTCAAGGTCTTGAGATTGTGAGATTTCTTTCTTATTGTTAAAGCTTCTTTTCAATTTAGCCAATGGCTCCTAACCGTCCATGTTCTTACATAATTTGGTGAGACAAGGTAGAGAATGCCATTTTCAAGTTTAACAAGTTGCATGAAGAACTAGATATCATGCCCTCGTCTACGTCATATGAGAATCTTGTTGGTTATCTATGTGGCTCAAATGAGGTATTTGTCCGCTTCTGTCATTTTCAACTTTCATTTCCGTACTAACCTGGTTCCTTAGTTTGACTCATGATAATTCCTTTGTGTTGTAGGTGGCCACTGCTCTTGATATAGTTGAAAATATGTGTGAATCAGGTCTGGAAATCTCGGCAAACATCCTGCACTCTTTGTTACAGGCCATTGAGCAGATTCTTGCGTTTAATTTGGTACAGACCTCCTTCTGCTTGAAGCATGTTCCTTGGACTTCGTCCCAATCTTTTTGTTAACTGACTTCACTATCTGTTCTACATCCAATAAAACAGCCAATTTTAGGCTAGTCACTGATATGCTCTTGATAGATCACTGACATCTTTCTCATACTCATGTTAAACCAGAGTTGTGTTTGGTCATACTGTTTCTGTTTCAGGTGCAAAGAATCTATTCAATAATGAGCAGCAAGAATGTGAGGCCAAATAGTGAGACTTTCAGGAGATCGATAAATTTGTGCATAAGAATCAAAGATGTAACTTATTACCAATTCTATCAGCTTAAGTTCCTTCCTGTCCTGAATTTTGTTTTATAGACCTAGATATTAAGTATGAATGTATTCTCACAGATGCAATGTTTGTTTTCCGACCATAAAAATTTGCTCTCAACCTTGGTTCCGTACAGTTTGAAGGTGCATATCATATGCTTGGTAATTTGAAGAATTTCAAGTTGGCACCAAACTGTAGCATGTACAATTCTATACTGGCAGGATATTTCCGGGAGGTAATATCTTAAGCTCTCTTTTTTAATTTCCCCTTTGTCTCACTTATCGTAGAATCCATATATTCCTTTAATCATGTGTTGAAATATGCATGGAAATAAGATTGTGGAACATGCAAAGAAGCATATGTTGTCTAAATTTCTATCGTAGCATAAATGTATATCGAATAGGCAGGTAGCTGTAGTCAAAAAATTATTATAGATTAAAGGTCCTCAAGGTTCTAGACCGATTGATAGTTCATCTCAGTTTCTTCCATATTGTCTAGCGAGTCGTTTTTTACTGACATTTTTGTATGGTTTTGAAGAAAAAAGTGAACAGTGCCTTAAAGGTCCTCAAGGAAATGAAAGAAGCTGATGTTAAACCTGATTCCATTACTTTTAGCTATCTAATACAGTATTGCAGCGAGGAGGATGCTATTGCGGAGGTAATCAAACTGTATTTTACTGATATTTTACCTCGTGCGAGTTTTCTTCTTCTAATCTTGAAGTTGGAAACCTAATGATACTGTCTCTCTTGTTGTGTTGTCAGTTGTTATACATACATTAAAAAATTCTAGGGTATGAGAGAAATATTATGAGGAGATGATATACATACATAAACTGTGTTTTTTTTCTTTCTTTTTTTTGTTATTTAAAAGTATTATGAGGAGATGAAGCAAGCAGGACTTAAAACTAATAAGCACGTTTACATGTCCCTTATTAAAGCATATGCATCATGCGGGCAGTTTAAGAAGGCAAAACGGGTAAGCTTGTGTATTTTATGTTCTTTTAAAATTCTAGAATAATTATGTTCATGATTCAGTGTAAGAGCTCAAGCTTTTTTCTTACTTTAGGTGCTCAAGGACCAGAGAATTTCGCCTAAGGATCACAATGAGCTGAAAAGTGTGCTTATATCTGCTCTAGCAACAAATGGCAATATAACAGATGCTTTAAGTATTTATGAAGAAATGAAGATAACTGGCTGCACCGTAGAGCCAAGAGCTATTATCTCTCTTATAGTAAGTTTAAAGTTTTCACTTTCGTCATATTTTTCCTCGTTATGTAGCCGACTAATAGCGAATAAGAGATACCATAACGTATTGCAATAACCTCAAATTATTTTTCTGTAGGATAACTCTGATTCAAATGAAGAGTTGAGAACGCTGGTTCAACTCACTCATGAGCTGTGTGATTATAAATTTTGGATTGATGGTTTCTTCAAAATGATCGTGTTTGCTATTCGCAACAATAAATCAAGGTACAGTGAATTTTGCGTGTTCTTTGTTTAGTTCACACGTGTACCCCGTCGTTATTGACTAACCTGTGCTTTATTTAACCCCTTTTGTGTAGCTCCATTCTTGATTTGCTAGAACAAACCAAAAACCACTTGTCCAAGGATGACAGCGCTGTGGAATATTGGTTTGAAGAGGTCTGATTCTATTTTTCTCATACATTTTCAAAATCTTTACAAGCTTTTTAACAAACTTTACATGCTTTTCACTGAATTCGTATTGTCAACTGATTTACTATAACCTCAAGTTTCTCATATGTAGACTCAACGAAATCTTGGAAAATTCTGGTGTGTTTTATTTTCTTAACTCTTGGCATCTTATTGTTTAAATCAGGTGTTTAGGTCAATAGCGGACACAGAGTCTAGTGATGTGAAGCTAGGGCTGGACTTGGTGAGCTTTATGAAGGAAGAGCTTGAGTTATGTCCTTCAAGAAAATGTCTAGATTTTCTTCTCCATGCTTGTGTCAATGCCAAAGATAAGCAGAGCGCTCTACTGGTATGGAAAGAGTACCAATTTGCAGAACTTCCTTACAATGTCCTCAACTATTTAAGGCGAGAGCTCTTTTTATCATCTACATTCAAAAGAATGATTTTGAACTTTTCTTAGTAATCGTATCTAAAAGAGTGGCTTTTCCTTAGTAAAAAGTTTTGTTCTGGTGAGAGTGATGTATAATGAGTTCTTGGTTATATGGCTCCACAGGATGTATCAGGTTCTAGTAGCTGCAGGAGATTCCAAAAGTGCAGCGGAAATAGTGTCAAAGATTCCAAATGACGATAACGATGTCAAATGTATAGTTAACAAAAGCCGTAGTGTATTTACTCCGAAACTGGAAACGAAAAAGTCCAAAAAGAAACGATTAGCTCTCCAAGCAAAGTAGGATGATTGGTTAAAAGCCCACATTGTATGAGATTTTGTACAGAAGTGAACACGATTGCCACTATAGTTGGCTAAGTTTTTATAACTCGAACGCTTATTACAACATTTAGACAAGTCTTTTATGTATTCACCCCGAGGATGAAGCCGTTGCTGTAACAGGGAAGATTGCAGGATTTAGCACAAGTCCTCACAGGCGAGCGGAAAGGGTTAGGAGCAACCAGATGAGAGATATTCAGCCCTGCATTACGCAAAACTGCCTTTGCATTTCCGCAAGCTTCTTCTGTCTTATCAGTGAAGAAACTGGGGATTGCCATACTGTTCACTATCTCAACCGCTCCTGTCCAGCTCGAGTACCCATCCAGGTCACAGTTCAAGGCTACAATAATATCCGGTGAAGTCAGGTATGTTACCTCGTCTTGGTACAAGCCTTTCACAAAGCTCACCTTAACTCTGCTATTTGTCGTTGAGGTGGTTGCTATTGTACCAGATAAGTCAGATGGGACTTCAGGTCCGATCATTATGATCTGCGCGGTTCCTAAACCATTAAGCAAGTGATTGATCTCTGTGAATGCTTTGATCCAGTCAAGTTCACGTTCTGGACCTAAGTAGTGGACAGTTACTTCTTTCCCTTTCAGCAACAGATTCTTGGAATGGGTGCTTACTGATGTTAATATGTGGTAAAGGGTTAAAGGGTAACAGAGAATGTCCGAAACCGGGCTTGACCGTGGTAGACACCGTAAATCATAGTAGTCTGACCAATCTGACATGAGGATCATACCCGGGGAACGCCTGTTGTTCAGATTCTGAATCGGTAAATCTTGTGGATAATTCCCTTCCTCTAGCCCTCCCCATGATTCAGATAGTGCTTCTGAGGAAAAACAGTGTAAGAGACCGAAAGGTTGGTGAGAATAGCAACTACATTGTCTTCTCCACATTCCCTTTTTATGGATGCCTAAAGATCCAAGCCACTCACATGGGTTTACACCATAACACAAGAAATTGAAGGTTTTTATCTTGAGCTCTTCTTCTCTACTCATCATAGCTTCGTAGAGACTACAAACACTCCGGTGCATCTCTCGCCAATGCCGGTTTTCGCAGTCTGAACCGCAGTAGATGGGTGCATGGCAATGACTACAACAAACACACTCATCTCTATGAACAGATTTCTCACACATTGTGCACTGGCTAAACCCTGCTTTCACACCTTCACCAACGCCCAAATTGGTCATTCCTGCAACTAACTCCAACACTTCATCTTCTCGTGCCATCATAGTTTTCTTGGACTTCTGTTCATATGATTGTCCAGGAGGATGTGAAACCGTTACAGCAACAAAGTCATGGCCATTGAACATCTCTGGTGGCCACTGAACATCAACAGTCTCAATAAAAGGCGAAAACTTTATTGTCCTTGGCAATCCAGACTCCTCTTGAAGCAGCAATGGATGAACCAAAGAAAGAGCTTTCATGATGGCAATCGAAAGTCTAATCTCTTCGAGTGTCGGGCTCCTAAACTGTAGCTCATCAGAGGTCGTGCACCTGGCAACATCGATGACCGGAAACCGATCAGTTCCGGAAACTTGTAAAGACAAAGACTTAACCATCCTCTTGTTAGAAGGAAGCATCAATGATTCAAGCTCATAAGTAACCCTTAAAACCTCAACATTCGGAACTCTAGCCATTTCCCATGAATCATCAGTCATTTTCAGTGCATAGCTCGTGGACCTATACATATATACCCCTATATCACCACCATCCCCTCCTATGAACTGAACACACTGGAAAGGCTGTCTCTTTCCTGACCAATCTGAGGCTTTCCCAACTCGAACACCAAACAAATGACCAGGTCTAAGCCTCTTCCATGGCTCACTTCTGTATAAAGAAGCTGAAGCTTTGAATATGGATTGAACAATGTTGGAAGATATACCTTCAACTTTCATAAGGCAAACACCGGATCCAGGTCCAAGACCCGGACCTGACCCGAACTGATCCTGAAACCTACCAAACAAGTTCTTCAAATGCAAATCCATTCTTCAAACTTACACACAAAAGAATCAGATCTGAGTGAAGAAGATGAAGCTCTTATGAAAAAATTTGCCCCACAATAAATGATTACTAAACCTGCAAATCCTACAGAATGCATCAAAAAGAAAGATATAGTAACAGAGAAAGATCAAAGCCAAGCAGAGAAGAAGAAAACCCAAATGGGTTATTGTGCATTGGGTACTGTAATTTGAATTGTAGAAGATATTGCTAACTCTGGTTAAACGGTCATGGCCGACAAAAGTCAAGAAGAATAAAACAACTTTTTTAAACCGTTAGATCGTTACTACGTTATTGCTTTATTCGTAATCGGACGGTTCTTAATAAACAGAGATTAATAAATAGATATTCCACATTTACGAATTGAAACAGACTGAATAATAATGATTAGTGCAATTTATGTAACTTCACATTTAAAACGACCAATGCTTATATGAACTTATTACTTGCTCTCAGTTGGTTGGTTAGGACACAGCATTAGATGAAAAGATAACTAAAAATAAATGTTTGCGTAACATTGTATTACAACAGATATAACTCAAGTCTGTAAAACATAAACTGAGGGAGAAGACAACAGAAAATACAATTGAGGTCTGTTACACATAAACAACCGAACAGAGTTTCAACTCCTACACTTAAGAAGTAGCTTCTTCTTCCATGTTGCTATCAATCTTCCTTCTTCTCTCCTTCAAGCAGCTCTGCTACTTGTTCATCTCGCCACTTGATGTTGACCTGTTTCCAAGCTCTAGCTGAAGCTCTTCTGGCACGTACTCTCCTTGAGAAACAGGTTCCACGATCATAAGGTCGAATCCGCGAACCTCATTCTGTACCACGCCACGACTTGGTCCTTGAGCAGTGCCAACGGTCGAGACTGGAGTTGGAAAAAACTCCATTAGCCGATTCGCTACTTGTGCATTGACTCCATCTTTCTGAGCAGTAGCTTCCTTTGGTGGCACCGGGAATCTTACATTGCACCCCTGCTGCAACAGTGTCAACGCTTGAGCAGATTCAGCAAACTCCGAGTCAGTGGTGTCAGCAGCATCATTCCTTGCTTGATCAGTAGGGAGAGGTTGATCAGTTTCATTGCTCTTGTTATCTCCTTTTCCATACATTTTAAGATGAGGAGCCAGGTCCGTTTCTGGAGTGACTTGTTGGACCATACGTGGATTAAACAAAAAACCTCTGAATCTGATGTCACTGTCTTTCACCTTGACGTTAAGAATATAGCCTGCGTCGAAAGTTCCTTCGAGCACACCAGACACCATCTTACCTAACAAGTTCGTCTCCGGGTTTGGAGTTGTGGTATCTTCTCTGCGTGGACGACCCCTCTTTCTCTTCGCCAAACCACCATTAGCAGCAGGAGGAAGCGAGTTCATGGTGTCTTGATTCTGCTGATTCTACAGAAAAAAAAAAACAAACCAAAAACATATGTTTATCGTCATGCAATCATATGTCTTAATGGATGTAAACAAGCAATAAGAAGATGTATAAAGTTCATTACACAAAGAGATATATTCAATATTACATTCCAAATCTACAAAACATAGATTTCACGCTAATCAAACCTAATTGTTGTTTCAATCTGAAACAAAAATTAAACAGAAACACCGAAACTAAAATTAATTTATGAAACTGATTTAAGACGAAAATTGAACATGGTAGAAACCTAACAATTATGTGATTCAAAATAAACTCCCAATTCAGAATTTTAAAGAAAATATCCATCACATAAATTTAATCCACACTCAAAACACACACATACATTTACATACCCTAGATTTCTCAAACCCTAGTATCTAAATATCAATATACGAGAATTTTCAATTCCAAAACCGAGAAAAAAACGGATCAAAATTCTATATATTTTGGATTAAACAAAAGAAAATACTAGAATAATTTGTTTACAAAACTCCAGAAAACGAATCTAAAACAATCAAAAAACAAACCTGAATCTAATTAAAAACAAAAAACAAAACATGGATCAATATTATCAAACCCTAGAAATGACCGTATATAAAAAACTCAGCCTACCATTATCAGAACCTAAACAAAAGAAGAAGAAGAAGAAGAGGAGCGTAAATATTATTAGGTATACCTGACGGCTACGCGACGCAGCAAAGAGCACACGAAATGGTTCTTCAAAAACAAAGAAGCGTGAGCATGTAATGTGTGAGAGAGACAGAGAGTATTTATTAGCTTCTTCGGCTACCTTTGTTCAAGTTTTGCGGTTTCTCCTTCGCGTCTCTTCATTTGGCACCTTCTCATGTTTCGTAGCCTAATAATATAGGCTTTTAATGGGCTTTTTTATATTTCTCTCAATCATTAAATATTTGTCTTTACTTTTAATTTGTTTGTATCTATATTAAAAACCAAAAGCCTCATTTTTATTAATTTTAGTTTACAAAAAAAATCTATAATATGCCAAAATTAATTTATCACAAAGGTAATATTTTAAATGAAAAGAAAAAATTATAAAAAATAATGCTAAAATATGGTAAGACCAGAAAGATTATTTCAACGGCCGTTTCGACAAAATACAATCTTTCGTTGCTTTGGAAATATCATAATTTAGCCGTGTAGTTGGATAATTGGCTAAAATTTGACTTGTCCATTAATGTAGCATTATTATTTCCTTCGCGTCTCTTCATTTAATGTAATACTTCAATCATTAGTTATTTTAAATAATTTTTGTTCGATACTTGTTGATATTCTAATTTTAGCTTTTAAAACTTTTTCTCTTCGATTGGCTCATTTTCTATGATTTTTTAGTGTTAAGTTGTTGACAAAACAAAAGTATTATTTTATAAATTTTGTTTTATTATTTTGACCAAATATAAATAATCGTTAGCTTGAAAGTATCACAAGTTAGTCGTTTACTCAAAAATCAACTTAAATATATAGTTTTCACAAGTAATACATCATTGTTTACTTTCTTTAGTTTTAATATGTCACCTCAACAGTTACATTTAAAACATTTATTTTTCACAAAAAGTTGAAATAACTAACACACTTTAATTAATTATATTTATCCTTAAGTAATAATATACACTACATCAATAGTGCCAAAAAAAAAAAATTAATAATATATACTATCATTATACTTTTCTGATATTTTTTGGTTTTAGTAACATTAGTGTTCCAGCTCTAAAAACCCACGATCAAAACCTCTCTTTGGAATGATCATTGCTTCTGGTTCATCTCTAACTCAGAAAACCTTACTAATCCAGTGGCCAAGTCACAAGTTCGTTTGTATAGCCAGCCACCCCATTAGAAACACCAAAGACGAATCCATGACCAACACTAACCTTTGTTCATGTGAGAACTTAACTTTTGGAGAGAAAAAAAGGTAATAAAACTTGTGATGATGATTATTAAACCAATTTTTATTTGAAGAAAATTAAAAACCTTGTACAAACAACATTCTTTCTTACAACAGAGTCACAAATCGAAAAGGATGAAATGTCAATTCCTATATTTTTAACTCATGGTATTCTTCTCTTTGGCTCTCATATCAGAAACTAAAACTGGTCTGAGTTCTAACATCCGACGGTGGAACCACAATCTTCAAAATTTTGGTCAAATGATGCTGACTTGGACAATATAGAGTGAATCAATCTATACACTCTGCCTTGTAATGCAAATCCAACTTCTCAATGATTCCTCATTGTTTTGGCAAGTTATGGGAACATGCCATGATCCTTTCTCCGATTCCTAAGTTTATATCCAAAAAATAAGATTACACAGATTCAGATATGTACTTCATCTGGAAAAAACACCAAATTTTGATATAAGATTGAGAAAAAAAACCTGGATCACAACAGAAAAGGGAGGAGGCATCTCAAGCTTGAGACAACCTTTGACAAAAGTAAACCGAACTTGATGTCTTTCTTTCCATTTTTGGAAAAAACTGCTACTTAATAGTTCAAATATGTGATCTCTCATCTCATCATTAGTCACAAGTAAACACTTGAGTTTAGCAGCAGCATAGAGCCAATACCTGAAATCAAAACATCAAACAAAAAGAAACCAATGATTGAGTAACAAAACCAAAACCATGTCAGTGTAATTATATAAGAAGCTTAAGCTTAAGTCAGTCCATACCAATCATCATTGGAACCTGGTGGAGTCGCGTATAGGACATTGTTATTAATCCATTCTTCCACCAGACTCCGGTGATTCGGGTTATCTAAAAGCGCACTGACCCGTTTCTTGTGCAACAGAATTAGCGGCTGTTTTTTGTTACCACTTATCTTATAAAGCTCCTTCACAACAGCTTCAAGCTGCTCTTTTTGCACCATGTTGCATTGTGTTAGTATTCGCAGGAATGTATTCAAAAATGTAAAAGAAGAAGAGCAATGAGAACCTGTGGTAGACTGAAACCACCATCTGCAAAGTTTTGTTGGTAGAGCCCAATATTTGCTCCATCAAGTATAGCTTCGTAATCTCCATGCTTTTCAAGCCACTCCTGTCAAATAGTTGAAAAATAAATATGATTTGAATATTAACTAAATAAATAATCAAACATGTATACTACTTGCAATAAAAATTTTGATTCAGGCACTAAACTATAGACTTCTACTGTTCTTTCTCGATAGATAGTCCATACTATAAAGTTTTAAAAATCACATTTGGAACTACAAAGAACTTAAAATATGATTCCCAGTTCATACGAATCCATGCCAGAGGTGTATGCAGAGTTAAAATGAACAATGCAGAAACACATAGAGCAGCTAACGTCATTTTCCAATAAGAATTCAAAGCACTATTACCTTTCTCTATATAATTAGAGAAAATTAACTACGAAAAAAACATAAAACTTCATTTCGGTATTTATCTCATGCAAGATTTTATCTACCACAACTTATAAATTCCACACAATATTAGATGCAAGCTAAGAGAAAACATCCATTATTTCTTTCTAACCTGAAACTCGCTGAAGTCCGCCATTGGCTCACATGAATTCATCTTCGCCTTCCTCTCCATAGCCAAACCCACCAAAGAATCCACAAAATTTTCAGTCTCTAACTCATTGGTATCTACACAAGCCAAATGCTCACCACAGCTCAAGCATTTCCCAGCTGGACTGACACTACCTTTTGTTACAATCCATTTGCCTTCCCCAACCCACCCTAGACCATGCCACCCGCCCCCATTCTTCAAAACAGCGGCTCTAAGCAGCTCAATATCAGAACTAATCCCTTTATCACAAACCTCACTAGCTTTCTCTCCACAGAACCATTTCTCAATAATTTTTGAAGTTTCTTCACTAACGCAGCCAACACATTCTCTTAATTTATGCAAATATCTATAAACCTTCTTTTCTCGGCCTGTGACAGCGCTTACCTTCAGCAAAGCCGAGATCTCTGGCTCCTCCAACACAATACCTGAAGCATCCATGTGGTCTTCCACTTCATAAGCCTTTTCAGCATGCATACTCTCACAGAAACAGAGCAAAGCTGGAGAATAAGTTCTCAGGCGAGGGACCGAAACACCGCCAACAGCAACAATGTCTTTGACAAGCTTGAAAGCATAATCACCGTCACCCTTAGCAGCAGCTAGACGTGCCACTGCAGTGACAGAGGACTCATTAGGACTAATCCCGGAACTAACCATACGATCAAAAATTTCAAAGCCACGGTCGATGGCAAGGGTTTGAAGAGACGGGTCACTAATGGACGCAGAGCAGAGGTAAAGAAGGCTTTGGAAGTGTTGCTGACTGAGGCGGATGTCAGTGGAAGTGATAGCTCCATCATAAAGAGCCAATGCAGCTGAGAGATCCTTAGACTTGGAACAGGAATGAAGACTGACAAGGAGATTCTTCTCTGGATTGCGGCTTCCCTTCTTCTTCTTGTTTGGTTTTGTAGGGCTTTCTTCATGGTGGCGAGAGCGGCGTTTATCAGTACCAGCCATAGAACAGTATATATGCAAATTAACAGGGCTGTCTCTCAATGCTACAAGCTTTGCATTAACGAAGGTGGATGATGAAACCCTTACCCTAGCCAAAAAAATATTGAAAAATCCCAAGATTAAAACGAGCAGTTAACAACATTACAAAAGCAATCCTTTCACAGAGATTGCCATTCGAAATCGAGGCAGTAGAAGGAATACAAAAACCACAATGTCCCATAATTTTTCACCATAAAGCAACAGTCAGTACTAGGCTAAAAAGATAATTCCGATGTTTCCATTGATTTCAGATCACTCATCGACCAAATTTTACACGGATTAAACAAAAAAGAATATAAATTTATATAGTTTCATCTATCCATACTCCTATTGATCAGTTCTGCACCTCCCTGGCAAATTCAGGATCCAATTTTCGACAATTGAAGGTTGATTGATACATGCAAGATTAAGATTAGATATGATATAGATCCAAAACAGAGATTATCTTCCAATTAGCTCAACACCACACTAAATTATTGAAACTACAAGATTGAATTAGGACCATGAAAGAATTGAGCATCTAAAGGAAGAAGCACAAAAAAACACAACAATCTCTACTGGGAACAGATACATATATATATATATAACATAAGATTCATCAGAACCTAGCGATTACGGGACATGCATGAACCCTGAACTCCTCAAGACAGCTTCAGCAGCTGTGTAAACTACGCTACTCTAACTGTTTCCGAACAAATCCTGACTAATCTAGGTTAAAAGCTTCCACATTTAATGGATACAACTAGGGTTTATCAATCTCTGTACTTTTTAAGATCGACAGGAACCTTAGAAAAAAGGCAGAAACTTTAAGGTGTAGAAACGAACCCAGAAGAAAGGTCAAAGACTCAAAGTAGTATTTGGTAGAAGAAGCTAACCTGCGAGGAATGGCTCGATAGGGTAAGCGAGTTCGAGAGAGACAAGGCGGCACGGCGCAGAGCAAAGAAGAAGGCACTGAAGGTTTTTTTAATTTCATAGCTTTTCATTATCAACCTTATTCATTTTGGTTTTCTTCCCCAAAGAAAAAAAAAGGAAGCTCAAGATATCATTTTTCATTTTTCTTTAATACAAAAAAACATTAATATTGTATAGTTAAAAAAATAATTCCAGGAAATAATTGTATATATTTATCCATTGAAAAAACCCAATTGCATATGAAAAAATATATATATTTTTAAAAAAATATAGCCCTAAATGAATATTTTTGTAACAATTATGATTATATTTGTTTTTAAAAATTTTGTTTGGGTCAACCAACAATTATGTTTATATTTCACCAAAAAAAAAAATGATGTTTATATATTATAGTTTTATTCAAAGTAAAGCAATATGTTACTTGCATATTTGTAGTCTGCAATGTATTTGGAATTGGGTTAATTGATTATTCTTATAGGAAGACATATTTTGGCTAAAGTTCAAAAAGCACAAAATACGAAGAAAAAAAAAACTAATATTGGTGGTCATCCTTACATTGCATAGGTTTAAGGTTTGGGAAACCGAACTCAGTTGTATGGATTGGAGATGGAGTATTGGAGTTTATAACAAAATATATTGATCATTCCTTCATAATGTGAATATGTGTAATAACATGTGCATGAACCACCTGGAATATTGGATAGTCCACATGTTATGCTCATATAGTCAAACAATAAAAAATCCCCCACATATGCCTAATTGTCTATATATATAACAATCCTCATTTCTACTACCTTAACTATACTCACACCACGAAAACTTTAAGCTCCAAAAACAAAAAACAAAATGGCAATGATGAAGAGTCAAAACCAATACACAAAGATAGAGAAAGAAGATATTCATGAGATCATTCACAGGAGAGCTCAGTTTCTGATCCACAAGATTCTCCAACGAGCAGATACAGAGACATTAAGACAGCAACAGAAGAGAAATAGTACTATCGTCAAAACATCGGCGTTTAGAGTGGTCGGGATAAGAATGAAGATAGGGAAGAAGCTGAGGAAGCTAAGGAGGAGTTGTGCAATGGCGAACAAGCATGGTGATCTCATGCCACGTTTTCTCAAATCTCTTAGACGTTATTTCTTCTGTTCCTCTCCTCCTCGAAATGTCTCCGATCTTCCTCCTCTCTTCGCTCTTCATGTTTAAGTTTTTTTGTTTTCCTTGTCATACCATAACTGATACCTTATATTGAATACTCGTCTCTAGATCTATGTTAGCAATGGTGTAAACAAGACTTATATATGAACCGTGTGAGTTAATAACTCACAGACGAATTGTTTTAAAAGATAACAAATGAGGGATCTGGATTCACATCTTATCGCATTTATTTACTCGTTCACCTAATGGATTTTAAATATGTACTCGTCTATGTCCTAACAATTAAACTTAATATGAATAGTAAGTCAATCAAAATCCCATACCACTGATACAGATAGTTTTTTTTTCCGAGTGTTTTGTAGTGATATGGGAGTATGGGTCGCATCTACCACCAAAACATAATTGTGTTCAATTTTTTATTTTTTTGAATGAATGTAAAAAAAAAAAAAAAGCCTTTTTTACAATATATGCATCTCTTAGTAGATATTGATTTTGAGCATACAAAAGTGAAACAAAGCAGAAAACTATAGCTGAGCTTGAGTTGTTTTAAGACTGTGAGCTCATAAATGTGTTCTATTACTCATTGACTGGAACATAGATATATAATTGACTACGTACATACATCATAAGATACTCAGAATCTAATTAGATAGCACTTAAACTGTTTATATGTTTGTGTTAATCAAACGATGTTGTTATATTGGTCAAGGCAGTGGAATCTATTTACAGGACGTATTCTCCTCTTCTATTTTTCACTGTAAATTTTCTATGTGATGGTTATATATTTTAGAAATTAGTCAGGGACATATTTAACATTAGCTTTTCGCTATGAGGAAGGGAGGAACATGGTTGTCTGAAATAGTGGAATAAGGTGTACGATTGTATTGGCCAAAAAAACAAAAGAGGTACGTACGATTGTGAACATGGCATCAGTCCATTGAACCTCTCCTTAAGATTAGTAATTAAGGTCGGTGATGCTTTAATGCTTTCCGAAGCATTTTAATTTCCCCGTTGACTAATTTTATCTTTGTTTGCGTAGGGAAGTAGTTGACTATATCCCAGTACATCTTATGTAAAACCGTCACAACTCTTAAGCTAAGATTTGCTTAAAAACCTATGCATTGAGGATGCTCTAAGCTTTTAACATATAGTTTACATTGTAGGTTTATTTTAGTTTGTACGATCATTAATTAGATTTCTGACAATCTCTTTTATAACTCGCGTTTGTCTATTATACAGAACAGGCGATCCACGACTGCCATCACAAATGTCCAACTTGGAATACATTATGTGATTTTAGTGAACCGAGATAAATTGACTAAACCGAATTTGAATCAAACCAGACCAAAATTATTCATTCAATTACTTAGGTACAAGAGAATTAAGAAATTTTAAAACCAAGCTACATTGATTTACTAGTTAATTGTTACAATATATTTCATGATCAATGATTCAAGAATATATCCATTCGAGATTGATGAGACTAGCCCATCAGACTTAGCCAAAATACAATTTTCCCAAAAGATAAAAAACAAAGAAGTAGATATCGAGTGAATAGTTTTTCTATGTGCTACTGCTAACTGCTAAAGTACATATATATTTTTAACGATGATCTTCGTCATTAAAAATAAACTACTTTTATATATATCCATTACGAATTCTGGCGAGACTCCTTGACGTCGTCCCACATGTCCAATCGCTTTTTAGCTGTTTCCACCTGAATCATTGTGTAATAAGAATCTTAGTAATTCTCGATGTGCCTTGTGCATAAACCAAATCTAATCTAACTTTTGATAAATGATTGTAAAACATTAGTACGTGACTCAATTACATGTAAGGTTCGTTACCTCTTTATCCCAATCTGTTCGATACGTGACGTAAAGTAAGATGAGTGTTTGCATGAGGGTACCTCCAATCATCCCTGTCCATATTCCCTATTGTATAACCAAATTCACATTAAAAAATATTGAAATTACACTGATAATAGTAAAGTATATACAAACAGGATATATATAAAAACGAACCTTAGCTTGATAATTGAAAGTGAAGCCGAGAATACAGCCAACGGGTATACCAACAATATAGTAACAACCAACGTTCACATATGCCACGTATGTCTGCCATCCACATCCCACTGCCACTCCTACAAACAAACACCAAACCGGTTCGGTTAATTTACGCCGGTGCTTTCCGAATCTAACTGATAGTTGCATGCATGTGTTATTATAGTTATGTTTACCGGACAAGACAGGTTGGATTCCGTTGAGAATGATGGTGACGGCGAGAAAAGGACAAAGGTCCGAGACTGCCTTAGCCACGTCAGCATCCGACGTGAAAATATAACTGACGTAATCACGTGATGCAATCACGGCGAGGGCCTCGACGACCGAGATCAAGAAGGAAACAAAAGTCGCCGTCCATGCAGAGAACAACACCGATTTTGGATTTCCTGCTCCAAGCTCATTACTTGTTCGTACACTGTCCATGTCATAGTTTTCTTTTTATTTTAATGATTTAATTTGAGCAATGTTTTTCTAAACTATTTATATGGTCGAAAATGTAAAGTTAATTAAAAAAATAAAATAATACTAACCTTGCAGCCGCATTGAACCCAACAGAGACCATGAATGATAATGCTGAAATTGACATACTACAAAAGAGATAAGAAATTTTAAAAAAACGTTTACATAACAATACTCAAAGAGTACTAAACTGAAAATGTAATTTAATTAATGGACTTACCAGATGGATAGAGAATCAAGAGAGAGCGCAGGATCATTGAGCAAACCGGCGAGAAGAACAAGAATCTGTGAATACCACATTTCTAGACAGATCATTACAGCGGAGCCAGCAGACAGTTTGAAGAAGCTCCAAAGACCATCGAACGATCTCGAACTAAGACCAGTCCACGTTTCTCTAAACCTTATGCTAAATGTAATGTATAACGTCTGAGCCCCAACTATGAACCACCAAGAGATAGTAAGAACATAAGCGATCCCCATAAGGCCCATGTTCATTACATATACGGTGACCCACGTCAACGATATCTGGAGGAGGAGTGCGGCGGCTGAGATGTATGCACTCGGAGCAACCACGCTTTGAGCCTGGAGGAACTTTTGGGCAGTGAAGTTGATGGCGTAAGCGAAGATTTGTGGGATGAGTCCGGCGATGTACAAAGATCCCATGTACGACACCTTTTTAGGCTCGCCTAAGAGGAGAAGAATGGGGTACGAGAAGGTGTATAGTACTGTCATAGGTAAGCCAACTAGAGCGAGAACAAGTGTTGCTCTTTGGAGATAGATCCCAAGCATCTCGTACCGGTGGGCACCATACGCTTGTCCACATAGTGTCTCGACTGCACTACCCATGCCCAACTGTTCAAAGAAAATAAACCTAAATTTTTTATATCATTTGACGTCATAAGTGTGTAAAACGTATATGTTAAAAGTGTGAATCATGTGTTTATAATTCTGTTCCGAATCGTACACAAAAAAAATAATTAAAAAAACAAATATATATCGATGCGACAACAATACTTAAAAATTAAATAAGTTTTGAAAAAAAAATCGTCACAAGTTATGATAAAAAGGTGAATGATTATTCTCAAAACTTATACACCAAATCTGTAACCATAGTGGTTATGGTTTCATTTAGTGAGATAGTTGGGAATTGCCGCTGGTTGCATAACATAAGTTTCAATCCCTAAGACTAAAAGTATATGAGTCGTTCATTCTTTTTTTTTTGGTTACCAGCGGTAATCATTTACAATATTTGAATAACGTTCTTGTTACTGATGTAAAATAAAATATACAAAACAAGAAAAAGTAAAGAGTCCAAAGTAGAAGGTCCCATAGTGGAAATTTTTTACAATAATTGTGTTTTGCTACTAACTTTTCCATAAAATAAGCAGAAAAAAAAATTAGTTCTCCCACATGTTTTCACTTGACTGGTGAGAACAAGGAGGAAAAGTGGAAAACATTTTCCCACCTAATCATTCACTCGAACTAGCTTTACCAATTGTATCGCTAGCATTAGTTATCAAACTTGTAAGTTGTACCATATACTTCAACAAGATTACGAACCATTAATAAACGTCAAACAAAACAATCAATATATAGTTAATATGTTACTAGTCTCCAAACATAAGTAAGGTGGCTCTAAACGTACCATGAGGGCATATACGAGATTGAAGCTGCTGTTTCCGATGGACGCGGCAGCGAGTTCGTTACTGCCGAGACGTCCGGCAAAGATACGTGCGGAAATACCCATTCCGCTGTTGACTAAATAAACGAGTATCGCCGGAAGTGCCAACCGGAAAAGTAGTTTTATCTCTATGCACACTCCTAAGTACACGCGCCTCCGGTACGGCAAGCTACTCTCCGTTAACACGCTCTCGAGCCCGACCTCCAACGGAGGTTTCTTCTCCCTGTCCACCAACGGTCGCCGAAGATCGACTCTCTCCGCCGTCTCATTTGACACATCCATATGTTATGATTTTAGGTTATTCTTTTAGTATTTTTTAACGTCTATATATGTTATATAGGTTATGACAAGTTAGTAGGGTTGTTTATATAAAAGACTGATGAAGAAATTGGGTGGAATGTGACGATCGGTAGGGTTTTAAAATATATCATAACGAATATAAGAAAAACAAAGACTTGTGTGTTAAAAAAAAAGGGAATTCTACAAATTAACAAGTAATAAAGTCTTTTTAAAAATGGTTGTTTGTTATTATTTTTTGTTCTTTTTCAAATGGAACGAACAAAAATAGAGAGCAACAAGAGAGTGCAGGTAAGATCCAGAGAAAAGACATAAAATACTGTAAGTTGTTTATATAAAACAACAGAGGAAATTATTCCATTGTGCCACGGATCCGGATGTAAAAAAAAGGGAATCTCGTATAGTTCATGCCTTCATGCTATTGAACCTTATATGTCTTCTCTTAACTATATGGTACAATTCTGCCTCGGCTCAAGTTATCCATTCTAAAATATGTCTCTAATCAACGATATATCATTTTGCAAGAAAGAAAAGTTGCATGGCAGCATGCATGCATGAAGAAATTAATTCAACCATCACCCGATTAATCAAGTTTATCGACCAGAATATTAGAAATCGCCTCAGCTCAATCCGCGACATGGGAAAACAAGAACTACGATGATAGTCTGATGGTGTGGTTACACCATTCACTCAATTCTGAAAGTGGTAACACATTTATTGTATTTTGTTGTTATAAGATAGTATCCATGTTATGAGAGTTATGTTCCATATAAAAAAAAAAAAGAAAAAAAACAAAAAAAAAAAAACAGAGTGTTTGTATATTTGAAACCAATGCCAATATTATTGAAGTCATTTGACGAACCGACGCTATAATTTTTTTTTTTTGTGCATGTCACGTGACAGCAAGCACTAAACAGATAAATTACTTTACTCAATCCCAAGTAATTAAAATACCTCAGCTTAACGAATTAAACACACACACACACACAAAAAAGATGGTTTGAAAGCAGAATTGCATCGCGAGTCATCGTCTAAAATACACCAACTATGCATCGTCTAATATACCAACTATGTTCTTTCCCAAAAAAAAATTCGAAAAAATCAGTATTATTTTAATTTATTTCTTTCCATACTCTCATGTAAATATCGAATAATAAGTTTGATATTTTAATTGAAAAGTTAATCAAGTGGTCATTGTTAATTTGATGACAAAGTTGAAGAACTAAATTAATTTCGTGAGATGTGACAATGATATGCTACTTACCTTACTACACCTATTACATAAACAATCCATGATCTGTAACTACTGTTTTTAAAAATAATATTTCAGAGAAAGGAATAAATTTAAGAACGACATTTAGCAGATAAAGAGTAATCATCCGTCAGATTTATAAAAAAAAAAACGAAAAAAAAAAAAAAATCCTAAGAGAAATCACCTCAAGATACAACACTTTGCTATCTTTTCTTTACTTTCCTTTTACTCCTCCGCACTTGTTATAAACCTGAATTTTGCAATGTGTTTGTATCAAATATTAATTAACTTGTTAATTTCAAGCTCAACAATTTCTATGAAAACTTGTTTGTAAAATCCTTACTAGGCTAGTTTTGGCGAGGCTCCTTCTTTTCGTCCCACATATCCAAACGTTTCTTAGCCTTTTCCACCTGGATCATATTATGTAACAATAATCTTAATGTGTATGTCGACATATATAATTCAAAGCAAAATATAAGATGTAACTAAATTACATGTAACGTTCGTTACCTCTTTATCCCAATCTGTTCGATACGTGACGTAGAGTAAGATGAGTGTTTGCATGAGGCTACCTCCAATCATTCCTGTCCATATTCCCTACAACCAAAAAGTCCAAAGTTCACATAAATGATTTTCATTTTGAACATGTAGCATTACTATATAGTATACAGAATATATCATAGAACATACCTTGGCTTGAAAATTGAAAGTGAAGCCGAGAATACAGCCAACGGGAATACCAACAATATAGTAACAACCAACGTTCACATATGCCACGTATGTCTGCCATCCACATCCCACTGCCACTCCTACAAACAATACCAAACCGGTTCAGGTAAATTTACGCCGGTTTTTCCGGTTTTAGCTAAACAATTGCACCTATTACTACTATTATGTATACCGGACAAGACAGGTTGAATTCCGTTGAGAATGATGGTGACGGCGAGAAAAGGACAGAGCTCAGAAACGGCTTCAGCGACGTCAACGTCCGACGTGAAAATGTAGCTGACGTAATCACGTGACCATATCACGGCGAGTGCCTCCGCCACAGAGATCAAGAAGGAAACAAAAGTCGCGGTCCATGTAGAGAACAATGCTGATTTCGGATTTCCTGCTCCAAGCTCATTACTTGTTCGTATACTGTCACATAGTTTTAATTTTAGTAACAAAAAAAAAATCATAAAGTAAGTTAGCAATGTTTTTATTATTATTAAAACAAAGTTTTAGCAATGAATAATGCAAACCTTGCAGCCGCGTTGAAACCAACGGAAACCATAAAGGATAATGCTGAAATTGACATGCTGCAAAAACAAAATGTTAGATACAAGAAAATACTTTTGTTGCAATATTTGTTTGATGTTTCGGCAATATCTGTTATATCTATTTGTTGCCCTATAGAGCAATTCTATCCCACAGATAAGAATAGTGAGGTTAAGATAATGTAAACATCACAAAATTGACTCTAACCTTCCTTTTTATTTTAGATAAGTCTATCTTAAAATCCTCAACCAAAAAGGGTCAAAACAATAAAGAACAAAAAACTCTACTAAATTAGTGGACTTACCAGATGGAGAGAGAATCAAGAGAGCGTGCAGGTTCTTTGAGCAAACCGGCAAGAAGAACAAGAATCTGTGAATACCACATTTCCAGACAAATCATAACAGCAGAGCCAGCAGATAGTTTGAAGAAGCTCCAAAGACCTTGGAACGATCTCCAACTAAGACCAGTCCACGTGTGTCTGAACTTCGGACTAACCACAATGTAAAAACTCTGAGCCCCAACTATAACCCACCAAGAGATAGTAAGAACATAGGCTATGCCCATAAGTCCCATGTCCATTACATAAACGGTGATCCACGTCAACGATAGCTGGATGAGGAGTGCGAAGGCTGAGATGTACACGCTGGGGGCTACTACGCTCTGTGCTTGGAGGAACTTTTGGGCAGTGAAGTTGACGGCGTAAGCGAAGATCTGAGGGATAAGTCCGGCGATGTACATGGATCCCATGTACGATACCGTTTTGGGCTCGCCTAAGAGGAGAAGAATGGGGTACGAGAAGGTGTATAGTACCGTCATGGGCAAGCCAACTAGGGCGAGAACAAGTGTTGCTCTTTGGAGATAGATCCCAAGCATCTCGTACCGGTGGGCACCATATGCTTGTCCACATAGTGTCTCCACAGCACTACCCATACCCAACTATAAGTAAACATAATAAAGCTCAAAAAAAAAAAATTATAGCCACCTTTATAATGTTGAAAATGTGGACAACAAATATTGTCGTCCACATTTATAAGTCAAATTCTTATCAGCATGTTTTGTCAAGGAGTTTCCCTCATAAAATAAATATATCAAAAAGTTTATAAATACACAGAAAAATATAAGAGATATATAGAACTATTTGTTTAAAAACACATAACCAATTGGATTATTTTGTGCATGCATAACTTTTGAAGAAAAATGCATGAGAGACATCATTGTGACAACATAGTCATGAAAATATTTAGGTGGGGTGTTACAAAAAAAACTAATGCACCCTACCTACTGTTAAGTGGCTAGTGCATGAAGCCAACATGTGGTCAAATCTTTCTACCACATATTTCGGATACTTTAGTATCCAAACGTAGGTTATGTAACTTCTGATAATACAAGTTTGAGCATCAAACCAACAACATTACTTTTTAGGAGAAAAAAACACTTGTTCAATACTCTAAATACATATGCATCTTTAAATTGCAAATTAAGGTATATGATCTAGTGGTTGTGGATGTAAGTAATAATACCATATAATATAAGTATATTTATATTTATACTTATATAGTGATAAATTAAGATGGAAGATGTTCATTTTATCGAAGAAAATTATTATTTCGAGATTCCCCCCGTTGAAGAAATATAATTTTTTAATGAAGTCATTAAATGGTTGAACTAAGAAGTTATTTTATAAAGAAGGCATTAATTCATTAGATTTTGTGGGGAATTGAAGAAGTTTTTCAAAAGAATAAATGACACTGTAGTCCTTCTTAAGCAAGTACTTGTGACCATCTTAATAAGTTCTAATAATTTAATGTTGACACCAAACACGAAGGCAATTGTTTATCTTAAAGCTTCACTTAAATTGCGAGATCGTGTTTTAACATTAAATATCACCATGTCTGGTTACTCGGTTGACATTAAAACGTACCATGAGGCCATAGACGAGATTGAAGCAGCTGTTTCCGAGTGATGCAGCGGCGAGTTCTTTACCGCCGAGATGTCCGGCGAAAACACGAGCCGAAATACTCATTCCGTTGTTGATTACGTAGACAAGTATCGCCGGAAGTGCCAGCCGGAAAAGGAGTTTCATCTCTATGCCAGCGCCTAAGTACACGCGCCACCGGTAAGGAAGTGAAGTCTCTGTTAAAATGCTCTCGAGTCCGACGTTTGTCGGATGCTTACGCTCAGAGACAGCCGGAACCACCAATGGTTCGGCTAAATCTCTCGCTTCATTTGACACATCCATAGGTCGTGACAAGAGTTTTTGGCCAACAACAAAAAAGAGGCTTGCTTATATAATAAAGAGTGTTTAGATGTGTGGATCTTGTGTGGTGTGTTCGTAATAAACAAAATGAAACTCCTTATTGTGTTATAAATAGGGATTGAACACGTAACTAATGTTATTGGGATATGTTTTTTTCCCTTTTTTAAAAAAAAGATCAAGAAAATCAGAGAGCCGCCTGATCATGTGAAGCTGCCGGATGGGATCGTAGGGATAAAACAAATAGTGTAAATTAAACACTAGAACGTAGCACACTTTTTAAATTCTATAAATAATATAGGTTTAGGTTGGAAAAAATAATTCTTGAAAAAGTTTTCTATTGAGAAAAGTGAATAAATAGCATAAAGGTAAAATTGAGATTATTCTAAATAGTTGATAACTCAAACAATACTTGGTTGTAGGTGAAAATATATATTAATATTTGATTTCTGACTGTTCTAGATATAATTTTAGTATTACATACATATATTTCCGTATGGTACTTATTGAATTCATAGTGCATTGGACATTTCCTTAGGTTTCAGAGTCCGGGTGCTTTCATCTTGGCTCCGGTGGTTCCATCTTGGCTCCGGTGGTTCCATCTTTTGTCACCTATTCATATAAATACAGAACATTATGTATATATTTCATATTTCATATTGCACATTAATAGAAATGTGTGATACGATAAGATTATTAATTGATCATAGATTCATAGGTGAAATTAGATTTATGACTGTCGTTGATAGTGACCGAACAATTGTCTATACGACACTCATCTTTACATCACGAAAATAGTAAATGCGTTTCATCTAGCAAAAACTGACAGGTCCAAATTACAATAACAAACAAACAAAAGCGTCGTCAACTTGGAGCAATTTTACCTACATCTTCCTTATGTGGTCGGTGCCATTTAATGATCTATGCATAACATATAAGGCTAAAAATTAGTGACATGAATCGACAAAACTCAATACTTCAAAATCCATATTTCACGTTAAGCATCTTAATATTTTTAGGTGAGTTTGCGAATGGTGGAATAGTTAACACTTAACAGTCTGACTAATCGTAATACTAAGATGCTCGACGTGGAGTTAACGTTACCCTGTGCCGTAACCGTAACGATTTAAGTGTACATGTTTTATGTATGCATAAATCATTATAGAATCTTCAAGTAACGTAACGTGTTAATGAAACTGTTCTACCGTGCACGTTGTATGGTGAACGATTTGACTATAAATACTTTTAACATTATTTCATCTTGGTGTAGTATAATCTTAAAAGTATTAAGATGCTTACGGTGAAATAGTAACAGTATTTCATCTTGGTTTTAACGATTCAATCGTATTATTTGAGTTTTTATTTTCTTAATAAAATTCGAATATGAAATGTTGACATGTGACATAGACAAACACATCCTTAAATACCTACATTTCTGTTTTCTTGATTTTTTCGGGAGTTACTCACAAATAGGCATTATTTAGGATAGTCCGTATTACTAAAAGGCCTCTAGAAATTATGCCCACTGCTATGTTTAACATTTTGCCCAATAACCACTGAAATCAAAATAAAAGTTACAAAGGGAGTGAAGTAAAATCATCAGAATAACAAAATAATTACAAAAACAAACATGTACATAATTTCAGTTAAGCTAAAATCACCGATCGAGGGGGGTCAAATTTAGGACACACACACATCAAACTCAGCTTTTCCTAACTAATCAAACCAAAAAAAAAAAAAAGGAAAAAAGAAAGAGAGACACAAAACATTTATTAATCGATCTCCGGTATGCTTTGTAACGCCGGTTTCCAAGGCTGGTGGTGATTCCTTAGATCGACGGCAGATAATCCGGTTTGATCTCCACCGTCGAACATCAACTTAGAAAGTATCTCTTCCGCCGTCAAACCCTTTAAACCAATGTTTCTCATGAGATCTTCAAGTTCTTTCTTCGTCATCCTTATCTTGATCTCCCTCCTTCCACAAGACGTTGAAGAACTCGACGACGTCGCGTTACTTGCCTCTCCCAGCAGCTTCTCTCCGTCTCCGCCGTCCTCGTCGTTAAACACGGTGGAGGATCTTCTTCTTCTTCTCTTCTTGTTAAAAGATTCATCACAATCGTCTCCAGAGCACGACGTAGTCGTTTTTCCTGTTACGCATATGCAGTTTCCCATTTTAGTTTGTTTAGTTTATTTGATGATTGATGAGTTTGTTGAGATTCAGAACTCAAGAGAGAGCGGTATTTATAGCTTAAAAGGCTCGAGGGAAAAGGATTAATTAGAGTTGTACGATCCATGTCGGGAGAAGAAGACAAAAGTTGATTGGTCTTTGTTTTTACGTAGCTCTTTTTTTTCAAAGTTACGTTGTAATTAGTTGACCAAAGGTTGTTTCATCCTCATCCACTTCTTGTAACTGATTTTAGAGTTTGTCCACATGAGTTACTGACAATTTAAATTGCATTTTTTTTTTAACAAACAAATACTATTTTTTTTTTTTGTTAAAAGATAAACTCATACTATTTTTAAACACTTTATCTTGCTTTCGATTTTTTTTTCCCGATAATCCTATTCGAACTGATGATTTTGAGAGTACGTGAGAAAAAGTGATAAGATACAAAAATTTAAACTCTAAAGTTAGATACACTTTAAAATTAGTACCTATTTTCTTGAAAATATGATGAGAAAAACATTAAAAGCAGATTCGAGTTTTTCTTTTGTCAACAAGTAACTTCGAATTTTATCCCAAATATTTGACTGATTGATTGATTGAGGACCGTACGTATTAGAGGATGTTCCAAGATGTACTATATATTTAGTGTCCACTAGTTTTCTCATCAAAAAATATTTAAAGAGTTTCTTCATAATAAATAATATAATATTCAGTGTCCACTAGTTTTCTCATAATATATAGTTAAACTTTGGAAGAGAAAATAATGTCAGATAAACTGGTGAAGTTGATGGGAGTGGACTAAAAATGTTAATTAGTTGAAATAATTGTCTATTGTGTCGGCCGTGCCCTTTCCAAAGACCAAGTTATACCACAAATTTTTAGTTGTTGGATCGTTAAGATTTTTTTCACTACATTTCACTATATGTATTTCATTGTTATTAAATTATGAAGTTGATGGGAGAGTGTAACGCTGTCCACCTGTCGTAATATGTCATTTTCTTTACTTCGCCGTTATAATTCGTCAACAAAGGCCTTCACGTAATTAGTAAAACCAGAAAGAAGATAAAACCTTGAGATAGCATTGCATGTGCACAAAACCCTTTCGTGTGTGAACATCAGTACATAGTCTATTTTTTTTTGTTTTGTAATTATTGTGTTTTTTGTATCATTCTGTTTTGATAAAAAATATTTAAAGTCCACTTAAATCATCAATCGTGGTTAGACGAGCTTGACATGATCGAACTTTTCTGCGTGGTTTGAAACCATGCTTGTAACAAAAATTTGTTACGTGAATAGTAAACTTAACTGAATCGGTTTCTAAGCAAAGGGTTTACAAAAGTTAGTATAATTAAGCAGTATATCACGTGATAAAATAATTAAGTAGTGAAATGGCGTCTATGGGTAGGTAAAAATTATTATGGGAAAAAAAGAAATAGTTCTTTTTGTTTCTTTCTTGACTCGAAATCATTTTTTACTTATAAAGGAAGGAATGTGTGAAGTGGCACAGTGTCAGCTATTCTATTTGCATGGGAAGGGAATCGCTTTTGGACTTTTTCTTGATCTTACTGAGTCTTTTTTCCCATTATATATAGTTTATACTTAACTCTTTAATTATAATCATCATGTTCCAAATTCACGTGTACAATTTTTTATATTGAATTTGAAGATAATTGGACGTTGCACTTTGATCTCTTTGCTCTGTGTGTGAATTGAATCTTGGTCAAAAGAATTGAACACACAAACTTCAACAAGAAGAAAACAGAGTCTGGTCAATTATTTCCATCCATTAAGATATACATTTCAAAATACCAATTGCATGAAAAAATTACGTAAACATATTAATTCTATTTAAAAATTTGTCATTTGCCCCAAATGGAGTAACTAAAATAGGCCTAGTTTCTTAATGGGTCGAAGTTACTAAACCGCTCACGGCTGAACAAAAATATAGGCTCGTGAGCCCGTTTCCTAAAAAGGTAATAAATATGAACAAAACAGAAACGAATGAAGAAGAGGAAGGTTCATGCATAAATTGTTCATGCCGCCTACAAAAGGAATTGAGTATCTCTCAAAATACTAATATTAAGATAAGTACCCGTATACACATGTGGGTTTTGCTCACATTTTCTAATAGACAAATCAAATTTGACTATTTTAATTTATACTTTCTATTGCACATTCGGAGAAAAGAACTAGATTGCCAAAATTTATCTACTCTCCAATACAAGTTGGTGGTTAACATGTAGCCTAGTTGACATGGTTTCCGTGAAATTTAGATTACAAAGTTGATAAAGTTTTTCTTGTTATAAATACCTCATCACTGTTTTGTAATATACATTCAAGGCTCTATAAAATTGTCGTTACAAGTTACAACAACTAACGAATCAATTGGTGCAAGTGACAAAACAGCATAGCTCAACCGGGTAATTAAGCCATCAATCATATATATGTCATTAGTTAACAGCTAATTAATTAATATCATTTATCAATATCACTTGGACAATGAAGTGGACATGTCACGTGTTTATAACAAGATTATTGAATCAATTATTCGAATGTTAATAATGAAAACGACAGATTTTGATTAATCAATAAATTAAATATATAAGAACACTAATAATTGAGGCAAAGTTAAGACGAAGGAAAGGACAGAACAATGATCCAGACACCACACGTAGACTTTAGCTAGTTTAGTTCGTCGGTCTCCATCGTTTGCCATTCACTCTCTTCTCCAATCCATCAACACCCTCGTCAAGTCCGGTCTTAATCTTCTTATTTATGGGTTCAGATAAGACCACGTGTCGACTTTAGTAGACAAGATTAGTTGGACCTGCTTGCAATGAGTGTACGCGTGTCGAACAGCTGAACTGCGACATATCTTGTTTGCATTCCCATGCGGAGATATTAGACCCCACCTCAGCTACAGACAGTAGAGTGATATAAGCCAATAACATGTTTATGTTGTTTTGTCATATATTGTTTGAATCTATATGAATATGCACAGAAATACCAAAAAATATATTCTCGGTATACTAACATAAATACTATTATTAATCATTTCGAATCTTATGTGCATGCAGACTCAAGCATTTGCCATTTGTATATTTCACATATGCTTGGCTCATTGAACTAGAACCGACGTACAAATATTTCCCACGTGGTTACCTCCTAAGACTTACATTTCAATCATCATATCATAGAAGCCTTTTCGAGGCAATCTGATTTCTTTTAAAGATCAATACATTGTACATATATCTGATAAAACTGAAACGATACAATATAATTGAAGTCTTAATTTGCGCACAGATATATATACATGCACAAATATGTGGACATTTAATCAAATTCACGGTGATCAAACATGATTGGAAAACTTTTTTTTTGGCTTGGGAAGACTATAGCATATCCAAATATTATAACGCATAGTTTAGGCACGTCGGCAAGTATATGATTAAAATTACTTTTAGACTGGGGAAGAAAAAAAAGTCCTGATCACTTATCATCTAAAATGCTGAAATAAAGACAAAATAATAGAGTGTGTCGTTATCTAAATGGTTAATATGTCGACTGTTTGACGTGGACGATGACATCTTCTTTTGATCTTACCGAACATAACTGAGTAAAAACCACACACACGAAATGTAGACCCTATTCATCTTTAATGGATATATATATTATATACACATGCTGATCATTCTCATCCTCATCCTCATCCTCATCCTCCTTCACTCTTTAGTCATATTTACATAAAAACAATACAAGAGTTCTTCCAAGTGTCTGCATTAGGTAACATTAGGTATATGGGCAAAGGTCGGGGATTAACGATTAGTCGGAGCGAACGGTTACTCGGGAGTCCTAATCAGTCCGGTGACCAACACGTGAACGTAGAAACCGCCGTTGAGATGGAACTCATGGAAGAGGATGTCTGGTCGGTGCTGGAGCCTGATCAACCAACACAAGAAAGCGCTTGGACCGCACGCTCCCTCGACGCTAGTGGCGGTGCACGGATACACAACGGAAGTGGTCGTGCGGGTGGACGAAGAAAGAAACACCTGGCGACTTCAGCGCCGGTGAAGGTTCCTGACTGGAGCAAGATCCTAAAGACGGAGCCCGTCGGGTCAATGCATCGTAACAACAATGATGCTGACGTGGCGGATGGTGACTGGGAAAGTGAGATGGTGCCACCTCATGAATACGTGGCGGCACGTATTCGTCGTAACGGTGACGGTGGTTCCTCTTTGATTTTGGGCGTGGGGAGGACGTTAAAGGGACGGGACATGAGACGGGTCAGAGACGCCGTGTGGAGCCAAACCGGGTTCTATGGCTAAATCACCTGATTAATTTTAATTTGATCATAATCTTTAGAATTGGAGTAATTAAGCACTCTACAATAATAATATCTCCATGTATATTAATATTAGTCGTCTATTCGATATTTAGGGGGTGGTATTGGTTTGTGACTTATAAAGAATTTTGATGACTTTAAAAAAATCATAGATTGTATGTAAATGAAATCATCCATAAGATTGTTAGAGAGTTTTTTAATAATCTTGTTGACTTGATTTCTATAATCTTGTAAAGTCTTTCTAACAATCTCTCTATTTTGATAATACTTTCCATGACTTTAATTTGTAAAGAAAAGTGTTTAAAATCCTAAACCAATAACATAATAATTTAATTCATTAACAATCAAAGATTCTTATGTTTTAATCGAATAACTCAAAACTTCTAAAGACTTTATATAATTCTGAATCCAATAACCCCATATTTGTAAAGATTTTAAATGAGTTTTTAAAAATCAGTAACCAATAACACCAAACTTTAAAAGAGTTTAATAAAATCTTGATTGAATAACAACTGATTTTACATAACATTTGAAGTCTTAAAAACTCTCTATAAAGCACTAACCAATAACTCCCCCTTAGTTTAATTTAACATTGTTCAACTATATTATATTCAAGATTCATAGTCAAGATTATTGTTTTATACAAAGTACATTAGAAAATTAATTAAACGGTCTTTCTCTTAAACTCGTAGCTTAGATTAGAATAATTAAGGTAGCTGAGAATGGAAATATCCGTGAAAAACTTAAAACCTTTAATGTCGGCGGAACATAAATGGAAAACACAATCTCCACTTTCACCAATATTGGTAATTAAAAGAAAAACAAATTGTGAAATAATTCGAGCAAATTTTGCTTTTTTTGTATCTCTCCGATAAATTTTCCGATCGGACTTACTTCTTCTCTAACCTAGAACACACGAAATTCTAAAAAAAAACCCTAAAAATGGGTTGCTTCAGCAGCAAACATCGGAACACAGAGAGTGACCTCATCGATGGCAGCGTACAGAGCTCAATTCCGACAAATCAACCACAAACCAATGTCGTTCCCAAGCCTCAGAAACCTCCATCTCCTCAAATTCCGACAACAACCCAAACGAATCATCATCATCAACAACAACAACAACAACAAGAAGCAAAACCCATTACAAAGCAGGTTCTAACTCCATTGAAACCAATCGTTTTTAGAGAAACAGAGACAATTCTAGGCAAACCCTTTGAAGAAATCAGGAAACTTTACACGTTAGGTAATGAATTAGGTCGAGGTCAATTCGGTATAACCTACAGCTGCAAAGAGATTACAACGGGGAACATATACGCTTGCAAATCAATACTCAAGAGGAAACTAACAAGAAAGCAGGACAGAGATGACGTAAAGAGAGAGATTCAGATCATGCAGCATTTGTCTGGACAACAAAACATAGTTGAGATAAGAGGTGCTTACGAGGATAGACAATCTATACATCTGGTGATGGAGTTGTGTGGTGGTAGTGAATTGTTTGATAGGATTATAGCTCAGGGACATTACTCTGAGAAAGCTGCTGCTGGTGTTATTAGATCGATTTTGAATGTTGTTCAGATTTGTCATTTCATGGGAGTGATGCATCGTGATCTTAAGCCTGAGAATTTCTTGCTCGCTAGTACTGATGAGGATGCTATGCTCAAAGCTACTGATTTTGGATTGTCTGTGTTCATTGAAGAAGGTGAGCTTCTTATTCTGATTTATAGTTTATATATGCAAATGTTTTAGATTTCTTAAGATTCTGACTAATGTTGCAGCAAGAATACTCTGTATATATTAAGAATCTTGTTTTATTTAGTGATGTTTTTAGTAAATAGTATTAGTGGTAAGCTTGAAAACAGAGGTTTTGCTACTTTTGTGTGAATTTGGGAACGTGTACAAGTGTTTTGCTGACACAGTGTAACTGCAGGGAAAGTTTACAGGGATATAGTAGGAAGTGCTTACTATGTTGCTCCTGAAGTATTAAGACGAAGTTACGGAAAGGAAATCGATACTTGGAGTGCAGGGATTATTCTATACATCTTGCTTTGTGGTGTACCTCCTTTTTGGGCTGGTAATAAAAGCAGACAAAACACTCTGATTTGTTTATCCATTTAACTATGTGATTTATATGTTTTCTATTGTTGTTGTTGTGTTACATTGTAGAAACTGAGAAGGGGATATTTGATGAGATTCTGAAGGGAGAAATTGATTTTGAGAGCCAACCATGGCCTTCTATATCTGAGAGTGCTAAAGACCTTGTGAGGAAGTTGCTTACTAAGGACCCTAAGAAACGAATCTCAGCCGCACAAGCTCTTGGTAAAGTCCCTTTGGTCTCTCTTAAGTGCGGTTTTGTAGTAGTGCTTTACTAATCTGTAGTGATCCTTGTGGTTTTCTTTTTTTTTATTTTTCAGAACATCCTTGGATCAGAGGAGGAGAAGCACCCGACAAGCCTATTGATAGCGCGGTGTTATCTCGGATGAAGCAATTCCGAGCAATGAACAAACTTAAGAAGCTAGCTCTTAAAGTAAAAAACTACAAACGCTTCTTCTGCAAGTTACACATTCTCTTTTGGTTTGCTTAATCATTAGTTCTGTTTCTGACTTTGTGTTGTAGGTTATTGCAGAGAGTCTCTCAGAAGAGGAAATTAAAGGCCTCAAAACCATGTTTGCGAATATGGATACTGACAAAAGCGGAACAATCACTTACGAAGAACTGAAAACAGGGCTGGCTAAACTTGGCTCTAAACTCACTGAAGCTGAAGTGAAGCAACTCATGGAAGCAGTGAGTATTGTGATCCTCTTTCCCACATGCTTCTAATGTTTCATATTCTTCTTTAAAAATATGGAACCTTAAAAGGCCTTTTATATATATGTTTCAGGCTGATGTAGATGGTAATGGAACAATCGACTACATCGAGTTTATCTCAGCAACGATGCATAGATACAGATTTGATCGAGATGAACACGTATCCAAAGCCTTCCAATACTTCGACAAAGACAACAGTGGGTAAGTTTGGTGGTACTTTGTGAAACAGTGAAAATATAAACTTGGGAGCTATTTTTAAGACACCAATATAATTGTGGATTTTTGCATATAAACAGGTTTATCACAATGGATGAGTTGGAGTCAGCCATGAAAGAGTATGGTATGGGAGATGAAGCTAGCATCAAAGAAGTCATAGCAGAAGTTGATACAGATAATGTAAGTTTCTGCTTCCTATAAGCATCAACGCAGTTATGAACAAGTCTTAAGCCAAAATCAAGATAACTGAGTCTCTCTTGTGCAGGATGGAAGAATAAACTATGAAGAATTTTGTGCGATGATGAGAAGTGGTACCACGCAGCCACAACAAGGGAAACTTCTTCCAGGATCTATTGATGATTTGATCATAGAAAAATCTTGATAGCGAAACTTAAAATTAGTTAGATAGCCAAAATTGATTATTTCATTCAGCCTCAAATCAAGTAGATGGCAAGTATAATATAGTGATAAACAAAGGTTACGTGACATACGTTTTTTTAATTCAAGAATAGTCTTTCGTACGTACACATCCTAAAAGTAAAAGATTGTTTAATAAAATTATACTCCCATCATCAAAGTATTGAAACTAAACATTAAAGTGTCACGTACTCTGAAGAACTTGGTGCCTTGTCCAAAGTCTTCGTCTCTTGAGAGTATAAGAATTCAGAAAATTAAGTTCTTCGTCGAGTGCCCACAAAAGAATGGCTAGTAACATGTTTTCAAACCTCACAAAGTCTTCACCTGGAATAGAATACATTAACGGAGTTATATAGATGATATACATAATATAAAGGGAAAAAGAGGGTTTTCAGTGAAAGGATTCACCTTCTATATCCTTATAGATATCGGTACGGGCTTCATCATAGGTTTCTCTGGTGGTGGGCAAGGGGAATAATCTTGGCATGGTTTCGCCGATGATGCTAGAGAGAGAGTTTGTATACTTAGGGGGTGAACTGAACGTATGATTTTGGGAAATGAGAGAGTTTTTAGAATATTTTGGTGGAATTTTTAGAATTCTCTTATTTATTTTTTTAAAAAGAAAAAAAAAGAATTTGTGATTTGGTGAGATTTTAATTGATTATATCGAGTAATTTTTAGAAGAACAAAACAAAAACTCTGCTTATATTATGCTTCTGATCTAGGATGATGACGCAAAGAGGCATCATCCAAACTTCTGAAACTGTGGCTGTCTTTGGAATCCTTGTTACTGATGGACTATTTATGCCTAAAACATCAAGGAGACACCAAGGTGATATTATTGAAATAATCAGGATGTGCTACAGCAACATGGATACCCTTCTCTCCTAAAGTGTCACGTACACTAAAGAACTTGGTGCCGTGTCCAAAGTCTTTGTTCCTTGAGAGTATCAGAAAATTACGTTCATCTAAGAATGAAAATAAAAGAATGTCTAGTAACATCCTTTCAAATCTCACACCTTCATTACCTATAATAAAATACACCATCGGTGTTATAGAGATGATATGCATAATATAAAGGGAAAAATCGGGTTTTAAGTAAAAGAATTCACCTTCCGTACCCTTCCGGATTAGGAATTGATCATAAGCATCCCAATATTCTTGTGGCAATTTCTTTCCTGGTTTAAGAACGTAAACCCTGAGGGTCCTTTGCCCACGAATACCCTCCATATCGAAGAGGTATGTGTTGATATTCTCATATGTCGACAAAAACTCGTCAGGTGAAGGGATTGGTTCCTCCTTATCAATGATCCAGAAGACCATCGTCATACGACCTGTGAGGTTTCACAAAACGGATAACGATTTGTAAAAAACTATATATTACAAAACATCATAATCGTAAATATAATAGATCCATCTTACCCCCGGTTCTTCTGGAGGTGGGCAAGGGAAATAATCTTGACATGGTTTCGCCGGATGGTGCTAGAGAGGGACTTTTGTATTTTCTAGGTTACACCGTTACAGAGTATTTACTTCCACTTTTGTATATTTTTAGGGTTTTACTTATAGTTTTGGGATGATGCTAGAGAGAGACCTCTCTGCGAGAAGGCACGTGTTCTCGGATTGGATTTCACGTGGGAATGAGTTATCCATTTGCGATTCTAATTTCAGTTTCTTCCTTTTTTTTTTTTTTGTGTTTGTTTGTTTTCTCTGTTATTTAAAGTTTTTAATTCGTTAAGCAATATATGCCTTGTTTTATTCGTTTATTTTTTTGAATTAGAGAGAATTGCTTATTGACTATTTTGAAACGAGGTTGTTAGATTTGATTAAGAATCATTTATATAAAAAATACATTCTCTGACTCTGATGACGTTGAATGATTCTATAAAAATGGAAGTAAATACCAAGTTCTACTGCCTAGATGACACTTTGGAAAAGAGAGGTATTCATGTTGCCGTAGCACATCCTGATCCTTTCAAAACCAACTTTGGCAAGGACCAAAGCTGAAGCTCACAAACGAAAGGACCCGATCTTTAGAATCTCTGTTTTCTGTTCCATCGATGATGACTAATGTTAATTTCAATGCTATCGAAGTATAAAAAAATATTGAAAAAAAAATTCTTTTAAAATGTGTGCAAGACTATATTTGAATCAAAATCATATGTCATTATAATCTTAATTCACCACTGATGAGAAGAAAGAATAGAAAGAGCATTATATTGGACAAGTTCATGATACTCGGTATTGGGGCTTGCAATAGAAAATGAAGCTGATGAGTTTAATTATTAGTAAAGTAGCTGATGAAGCTACTAAACCAGTCGAAGAGTTTCGAGCCCACGATGACTCAAAGTCGAAGACACTAATCATGGAATCATCTTTCAAACTCAAGCGAGAAAAAGGTAAATACATATATACATGAGAAAAAGCTTATTAAGCTCATTACGATGTTCTCGAGTCTCTACTCTGTTTTCACATTTGCAGTAGCTTTGTAATAGGTATAGACTATTAGCTGAGAACAAGAAACCAATGTTCTCCAAGAACAGTGTATATCTATATACACCATAATAAAAACAAAAAATGTATGGTGGAAGAGGCATATGATAAATGCAAAAAATGCTAGCTAAGAATAAAGACAATAAACACGTTACACGTACGTTCCTACTCATAAGAAAATACAACAAGCTTGATCCTTCATGCATGTGTTTAGGAGAATTACATAATATTACACTCCTAGGAAGACGTTTCACCAGAGTTTCCTCCATGATCGAATAGGAGAGACAAATCCTTGGCAAGAAAATAATCATCAAGACTATCCATCCAATCTGTTGCAGCATCGGATAAACTAACACTGTATCTCTTATAATACAAACCCATAAAAGCCAAACTCACTTGTGAATCATCCATGTTTTTTGAGAGCACAATCACATTTGCTGGTGAAGGATTTCGTATCCCCCATTGGTACATGTCCAATAACATTGAGTAAATCCCCGCATACTTATCGTCTTACGGTAAGATACCGGTTTTGATTCCCGCATCGGAATATTTACGTAGCAATCCATCATCGTCCGAGAACCTAGTCTTATTACCATAAAACTGGACTGACAAATCCCCACAAAAGTTCATAGCTGCGACTTCTGATTTGATTTTCTCTTCCACTGAATGAGGATCGAGACCCTCAGGGATTGGGTAATCCTCCACGTTCCAAAAGACGCATGTGCTAGATTCTGCCAATGGACAACGAGTAATCAAATTACGATAGGGGAAAAAAAAGTAAAGAAGATCGTGAACAAAGAAAGAGAGGTCTTACCACCATAACTTCTGAGTTGTTTAGACATGGTTCCGGCGGAGAACTGCGGATAAGAGTCTTTTGTCAATTTAGGGTTACAGTTGTGCTTTGCGTCTAATGTCTCTAATCTATAATATGACTTTACTATATGTAAACGGTTGTTTTTTAAATATATTTCATGTACATTAATTGGAAATATTACTAATAAGCACTTTTTAATCATTTTTTGTTTCGTTATAAAATTATACTTATTAAAACTTAAAAGAGAGTTATTATCTTCTTGTTAAAAAAAAAAGAGTTATTATCTTTATACTTAGTTATTCTAAAACTAAAAATTAATCAAACACATTTTCACATAATTATAAGAGTAGTTCTACACTACAATTTGAACTTCACTTTTCCACTGTATGATTCGACGAAGTCATCATGATCATCACCCATATTGAAAGTTTCACAATTCGAAATGCCAAGAGATGAATCCTAGCTAGATCTTCTCACACTTAGATTTGTTGTTGGCTATCATTTACAGTTAATATCCCGTTTATTAAGACAATGTATAGAATGTAATACACAAGCTGGAAATGCTGATAGATACAGAAACTAACAAGTAGATGTCAATTTAATTTTTGTTTTGTAGAAAACAAATGAAACTCACTGAGACTGGAACGTATGAAGCATCATCTGTTGTCAATGTTAATGTTATGAACGCATGAACATTGCTCCAAGTGTTTCATATGTTACGTTGTTGATGTTTAGAGAGCTTTATCTTTCTTTAAACATACACCCCCTTCACTTGTTGTTTACACGCCACCACCATTAAGGTCTCTCACGTCTCTTTTTAGTTTTAATTAAAAGTAAGTTTTAGTCTACCTAACGTTTTCTATATACTACTATTTTTCTAATTGAAGTGTTTTGAAGTACAGATTATACTCTTGTAGAGAATCTCATCCGTTAGATATTTTTCTCTACATTTATGAAACGTCTTTGTCCTTCATAATTCAATGCGGGTCATGTGATTATAAATATACTCTAACGCCATCTTTTATTTATTTTATTGCTTGCGACTTTTGGCTTTACTCTTCTTTAGCTTGTGCTTTGTGGCCCGTTTCTTTTATTTTGAATTATTATCTTTGGAATCTTTTACATGAGTCATATTATATTTATGTCACTTACTACGAAAACAAATATTTGGTGAGATCAGTAATATAGATCGATATCATACATAGACAGTGCTGTGTATATATCATGCACGTCGAACAAGTTCATTGATGTATGTCATTGTTTCTACGTATGATATTCAACATGAAAGTATATCAAAAGATTCGGACTGTTTACTTATCATTACATAGTCATACATGATACCCAACACCATCCATCATATCATACATCCTTTCCATTATCTTTATATCATCCCCACCACAAACCCAAAATCAACAAAGAGCCAACATTTTAGATTTAAATAACTCAAAGACCACTAACATCATAATTAAAGCATTAAGGCTACAACAAGAACACACAAAAGAAGGGAGTGGTCACCACAATGATGCATTCATCATCACCCTTTCTTTGATTTTAACTTTAAAAGATTCCTTTATTCATCTTGGTTTCGATACGTACCAAGCAGAGAACCCCAACACACCAGAGCCTCTGTCTTTTCTCACTTTTTCCAACTTTAGTGGTTCTTGTTTGCGAGATTACATTGCTTCCTAATCTCACCCTTAGAACCGGTCAAAGGGTTGTTCTCGGATAAGATCTGAATCGCTCTAGTGAACTCCTTGAAGAAGTAGGCCTGGTCCTTAGCCATCTTCTTAACAATTGGTCTGGTCCTTTTGTCGTGTGCGAGCTGATGGTCCACAAGGAGCAAACCCTTGTTGTCTAGGATGTTACGGTAGTAATTGTTGTCTAGCACCATGGGAGTGCCACGGTCGTTACGCACGTACTGAACAGCCTTTGGGTCAGGGATCGAGTCAGGACACTTGTGTAGCATGTGAGGGACGTGGTCCGGGTTCAAGGACGGGTCCACCTCAGGGTACAAACGATGGACCAGCTTAACACAGTGAGTTCTTCCCACGCTGTGTGACCCTGCACGTGTCATCATAACAAAAAGTCAAAATCTAACACTATCCAAACTCAAAAAATCTAACAAGAAACTTAAACTTTGCTAGCCTAAAATTAATCATACATGAGTTAATGGACCAAAATAACCTTGTGCTAGCTAATCCATTAAACAAGGACTACCGAGAGATCGGATAAGGGTTACATTCAACTTTCCAACTCAGATCGCATATTCCGATGTGAACCGGCAAGATTACCTCAAATTAAATGGTTTCATTAATCTACCTAAGATTTTTACATGCATAAATCAAACAGACGAAAATACCCTTGATTAGGATATGGTAGAAAGAGCACTTTTTGGATGGTCAAATAGTTATCGACTTTCGAGCGTTACGTTTTTGCCGGAGACCAGTGACTAGTGAGAGATAATCAAAGGAGGAGAAAGATAACGGTACCTAAGAGAGCTACGAGGCCGGGAGTGTCGATTCCGATGGATTTGAATTTGTCAAGAACGACGGAGATACTCTCGTTGTGGTCAGGAAGATATGACTCAAGCATATCTGTCCTGCTCTTCAGACCATCTCTCCTTCCTGTCTTCAAAGGAATATGCGGTCCTCCCACCTACACAAAAACCCCACACACTGTTTTGTCAAAAAAAGGGAAACAAAGAACACGCAGTTTTGTCACAAGACAGAAAAATTCTTGTCCTTTAAAACTTACTGCTTCGATGCCTTCTCTTGCAGACAAGACGAGAATGTCGGAACATGAGACAACACCAGGGCACTCCCTCTCGAGAGCTTCCTTGATCTCCTCGATGTACCTAAAGTTTCTGAGACCGAAGCTCCTGTCGTGTTCTTTCTCTCCTAGCTCTCTTCTTGTCGAATCCAGCAAAAGCGACGCATCACATGACTGTTATCAACCCCCAAAAAACAAAGCAAAAACAGAGTAAACCGTTAGCTCTGTTTCAAGTGAAATATCAAACCTTTTAGCTATGTTTTAACACAAAGATCGGTACTTTTCCCACTTAAACCATCCAACAAAACATGATTTTCAGACAAAACCCACCATGCAAAACATATGAAAGATCATTGAGAGAGAGGGAGAGAGATCGGACCTCGACAGCGCAGTCGTGGAAGATGTTACGGAGCCAAGAGAAAGCAGTGTTCTTGTGGCGTTTGTAGAGAAGTTTGACTTGTTCACGGATGATGTCTTCGGCCTGAGGACACGTGTCCTTGTAGAAGTTCATCATCAAACCTGACTCCTCCTCTGTCACTGCTTCAGTTGTTGCAGAGAGTGCCCAAAGGCAGAGTATCGCCACCAACATCACACCTTTGCCTCCCATTTTTTCTTTCTCTATCTTCTTTTCTCTCACTACAACACCACTCTTGAGTTGAGTCAGTGAGCAAGCAATGCAGCTTCCTTAAATAAAGGGAAATGGAGTTTTCTTTCTTTATTTTTTTCAAAATAATAAAAGAGAAGCTTAATTTGAAGGTTATAGTAAATTAAGACAAGTTGGTGAATTAATACATTTTACGTGACAGATCATTTATCATGAAACATTATTCATTTTTTTCACTTTGAGCAACCAAAAATATTATTATAAGACTACAATAATTGTATGTTCCGTCAGTCGTGATTAAGAATATCTATATTCAATAAAAGGGCGCCTATACCTATTATGATAAGATAATTTAGATCATACACACTAAACAAAATAAAGAATTGAATATATTTTAAACAAAAAAAATATAGAAAAAGGAAATAGGAAGTCTTATAAATTGACCCGACAGCAGAATTAGTGTAATTTGAATTTTCAAAAATGAAATAACATAAAGTTACAATTATTCATTTTATTAATATAGTTCAATCAAAATATATGCTTGACATTGTACTGAAAGTTTAATTTTGGGTAAACAAATCTAAAACCACAATCTGGTACTAATTCGAAAGACGTGTGACGGTGTGAGTGATCATGCTATAGCTAAAGTCATTGACAGTGTTATGTGATAATAAATAAAGTTCGTTGGAGATTTTAATGTCGATGGCATTTTGAATAATTTATCTCATATACAAGGGGTGTTTTGTTATGGTTAGCTAAACCAATCACCAAGTTTTGGATTTTGGTCTCATTGAGTACACATCAATGGACCCTGTGAAAGATTCTTCCAAAAAAAAAAATCAGCTTCTTTTGTTAACAATACAAACAAAGGGGGGCGGCTGAAACAAGTATAATATATGGGGTGTAATAGTTAAAAGTAAAAAAACACTCACGGGGTCGATTTGCAAATTTCCTAAAAATTTGTTTTTGTTAAATTGTTACTATAGCAGATAAACAGAATCTTGATTTTCGATGAACTCATGGTGGATTCTTATTATTTTTAACAAATATAAATAGTACATTTGTACATATTCAATTACTTTATTTTTCTGCTGAAATTTTTGTATATAATTCAAGAAAAATAAATATTAGCAAAAAACTTCTACTAGTATTTACTTAACGTAGAAATGGTCAGTAAAGAGTTATAAAATATTGAATGAATCTTGAATGAATCTTGATCCACGTGATATGGTATTAAAACACGTTCACCACTCTTCACTCTCTAGTGTTCCCTATTTTTGTGGGTTAATTTATATTTATAAACATTGTAGAACTTTTTATGCTTCAGATTTGACTAAACAAGTTATACTATCATACCCTTAAAAAAAAAAAGAGTAGTTCTTCAAATTTGTTATCTCTTGTATTTTATGAAACTAATTTTAATAGAGGCAGACTAGATAAAACGACATTTACATTGAAAAGGAAAAAGATTTAAATAGTATAATCGGTGAGTATCGGTAGCTTTAACCGATATCGCATTGAATCCGTAGATTCGAAGTTCACCTCAAAATTTGGATATTTTGATTAAAAACAACAAAATATGAAAAAAATAAAAAAATGAAAGAACTGTGACCACCGACAGTTTGTTCCCTTATCCAAGTGTCGTCGACAAATGGCTTTGTGAGTAACAATCCCATTCGGTAATGTCACTCTCTAGCTCAGCTCAGTGGGCTTCACATCACATGTGTCCTATAAACACAGATTAACATGTCCTAACCAACATATAATTTATGTGCAACTCTGTGTAAGATGTAAAAAATGTTGAAATCGAATCTCATACGAGTTAATCGTCATGGATCTTGATCTTGACACGTGGAGACTGTACTCATCCGTGTCCTTAACGTTGCATTCACCATGGGGCCATGCAAAGTTTTAATACCAAGAGACAAAAGACGTTACTATTTTTCTCCCACCACACCAGACTTTTTTAAAAAAGCAATTTGGGATCATTTTCTAAGTTTCCTTAAATAGTGAAGAATATAGACTCTGAATTTAGTTGCCATGTCTTTTGAGTTCCCTCATTTCAAAGTGACGACGATTTGCTATATATAGCAAATAGCAACAAAAAACAAAAAAAGGTTACAAGAACATATATATAAGTTCAAAAGAAAAGCAAATAATTCCATATGAGAGAGCTCGTTAAAGGATTTAAGCATTATCAGAACAGTATAACACATTTCTGTTTTGTTATAGATGTGTGGCAGCTTTATTTCATCTCTTTGTAAAGTTGATTTGGCAACCATTTTATTTGTGTTTTTTTACTTTCAATAGATTTAACTCTTTAAGCCATGCATCAGGTTTGTTTGTAACATATATCATTTAATCTACTGAGTAGACTGTCTTAGGAAATTACCTTTTTTTAATAAAGAAAAATTTCCTCTCAAGCTCTTAAAACATGATAAATTCTGATTTCCACAAATCAGCTAGACCTTTAATCACAGTTTTATTATCATCTGCTAGAAAATTTGACATGATCAGACTATAGCTTTAAAATGACTTTTTACATTTGTAACATGTACAATTACAAGACTTAACAATGGACGAAGATATTAGAGTTAGGCACACTTCAGACCGCATCGCATCTATTCCAATTGAGAATTTGCCTGCGCTGATGGAGACAAGTAGACAACATTCTCATTATTATTAAGTGATCAAAACCATACACTAGAATTAATGGAAACGGCTAAAGGGCTGTGAAACTTGGAATATATTAAATTGGGTCTGGTTGTCCCAAGCCCATATCAATAAACGAGTGAGCTCACATCCTGGGTGTAAAAAGAAGTGATAAAATTGAAACTTTCCATTTGTATACAAAGTTTTGTCTTTTGTGGCCATATCAGTTGCTTAGGTTAACCACAAACATATAACTAATTTCTTACCAATTTTGCAGTTTGAGCAAGACCCTGTTCAGATTCTCGATGGTAAGGGCCAGGTAAACAATACATTCAAGCTAAGATCAAAGGAGCGGTTTTTGACATGCATGGGGTTGATCTTGTTTGCCCTGATAGGTTCAGATTTACGTCTTGTTATTTTACAAGGTGTGTAAGAAAAGTGAATAATTTAGACTACACTTTTAATCATAATGACTCAACCACTAACAAATTAATCCCTGGTACACTAATCCCATACTGACTTATTTTTAATTACACTATTAGGTCTTAAACCAACATTACTTTTAACTATTTTGGTTCTTGTGAATGAATGGTGTATATATTTTTAATTACTAAAGCTAAGATACTAATTAAATAAAAATGAAACTCAATGAAGAAGAAATAATTAATTTTAAGGAACAAAATAGAGGTTGCACTTTCGGCAATCCTAGATGATTTCATCAATGTTCATTACACTGATCATGTACAATAAATGAATCTACATACAGTAGTACTTGCTAGAAATAATCCTAGTTGGCTAGTTACATGGGTTTATACATCATGGGCTTGTTTGTCTCATAATGTTGGACTTGTGATCTTTTGCTTCATTATCATTATTTACCACAACACTTCCGTTATATAATGAATGAACTTGATTTCGCTTAAAGACCAAAACTACAAAACTCATTTTTTTTCTTTTAGATTTCCGGTTAGCCCTGCACACACTATATAACAAGTTCATTCATTATAACAAGACCAAAACTGAAACAGCAAATGAAAAGATGGAGATGCGGGGTATCGATCCCCGTACCTCTCGCATGCTAAGCGAGCGCTCTACCATCTGAGCTACATCCCCATTTTGTTGTAATAGACGAAATCAAAGTATTGAATCTTTCTTATCAAACAATTGAATCTTGCTTATGTTACAACATACATATCGTTTGTTATTCCAACATATCTTATCCACTTTCATTATTCTCTCATTTCTTAACTCACTTTCATAGCTGAAACTGACCAAAACATCATCGCACTAGACAAGTCACGCCATTTAATCATATTCTCAAACGATTAACGTACTCCGTTTATACTACAACATATCATTCTTGTTCCAACCATTTCTGCTATTTTAGCCTGCAATATAGACGCTTAATTTCTACGTTTCTTAATGAACTTCTTAAGATATTTTCTGAAGCTGGAGTAATGATAGTTCGAGGTTCTTTACAATAATAAGTAATGGTCATTACTCATAAGGTCTTTACATATTAGGGTAGGTATACGTATTTGTGTGTTTTATAAACTAGGAGGGGTTGTTTGATAAACCTCTGAAAAGTAGAGGTCATGTTACAGATTTTTAATGCATCGTGCTTTGGAATAACATCCCTGGACCCTTGCGACGAGACGAGACCCATGAAACGTTGGATTGGATAGCCTAACAAATTGTTTTTTCTTTGCAGAAGTTATAATAAATCGATTTGATTCTTGCCCCACCAGAAAGTCTCATGTATTTATGTGTGTACGAACACGGGTTTCAGATTTTTCTTGTATGATAAATACACACAAGTTATTATTCCTACCATATTATATTTTTTTCTCGCACAACGTAAACACACCTTTTCAATAAATTATACATATAATATAGCAATAGATAAAGAAACAAAAACATATAAATAAACATTTTCCATGGCAATTAAGTATCTTATGAAGGACAATAATATCAAAACTTGTCTTCAGTCTATAACAACATCTAAGATTTAGAGAGTATGTAATTTGAAAATGGCTTAGGCAAAAGCATAATTTTGAGATAAAAGCAAGTCTTTTCATGTAGTACCATTGATTTTTGTCATGTTGCATGAATCAGACTCTATCAATAATTTTGGCAGGTCTTAGCAAGAAATAGTACCAAAGGCTACACCACTCCTCTCTATCTAACCCATTTTAATTATTATTTACTTTATAGAAAAGAAAAAAAAGAAGAAGAAGAGATTTCAATTCATAGTTATGGCAGCGCAAAAAAAAAGTACGAAATAATTACAGTTTTGGAGGTTTGTGAAACCTCTGCCTATTGTGGAGGCTTTTGGTTCCTTTGAAGCAATCAATGACCTCTCTGTCTCTCATTTGCCAGCAAAGAGAGATTGTTTAATGTTGTTTATGGTTCACATTTTTATACATCACATTTTCACTGAATCTTCCCTCTGCGTCTCTCTCAGGTAATTAATTCTCTCTCTCTCTCTCTTCTCCCCCATCACTCTATCCTCTTCTCTTCTCTTCTTCTTTTTCTTCTTCTTGGGTTTAAGATATAATTAACGAAGTGTATTCATGGATTCAGGAGGAAGAAGAACACTTAGTTGAGAGCAGAAGAAGCAATATATTTGAGAGAGAAGGGTTTTCTTGTGGTAACAATGGAAGGAGGTGAAGAGTTTCAAGAAGAGGAAGTGTGGTCAGTTCTGAGAGAAAAAGAACCTTCAGGTCCTGAAATGAGAATGTCCAAAACGAAAAGTAACAACAATCTCTTCTCAGCCTCTTCTTCTTCTTCTTCGTCTTCTGCACGGTACATTCCCAAGGGCAACGAGCTGGTCACTGGAGGAGGAGGGGCAAAGCAGTCTTCTGCTCCAATGAATATTCCTGACTGGTCCAAGGTTTATGGATATCCAAAGAAGAGCACAAGCAGCCACTTGCATCCGTGGGCCACTGACGAAGACGACGAAGGCTCAATGGTTCCTCCACATGAATTGGTAGCAAAAAGACTCGCGAGAACGCAGATCTCATCTTTCTCAATGTGTGAAGGCATCGGAAGAACACTCAAAGGAAGAGATCTCAGCAAAACAAGAAACGCTGTCTTAACAAGAACTGGCTTCTTGGAATCCAATATCACTTCTTCTTCATCAAGTACATCATCACCACCGTAGTTTATGGCATGGCATGAAAGCATGGGGGCACAAAACCCTCTTTTTTACCATACCACCCTACCATATCATTATCATGAAAAGAAAAAACAAAACCTAAAAGTTTATGGTATCCACATGATTTTTAATTTAAATATCAATGTTGATATTGTCGTTATCACCATGTAGGGAATCATGACACTACCAATATGGTTGAGCTCTCTTTCTTTTCTTTGTTGTTGTTAGGTTTTTTGGATTTTTAGATAAGTATGATGACGATGATGATGACTTGTCAATCCCATGCATGGGACCCATATCATTTTTCTTATGTTGTCTTAAAAATTTGTAGTTCTCAATTGATCTTTTATTAACTCGTTAATTAGTACTATAGTTTAGTGCATATTATGAGCTTATAAAATTTATAACTTACAACAAAACAAAATGACATATACTTTGGAACCTCTTTTAGAGTGTGAACTATTGAGAGCTTCTCTCCATCTCTTAATTGCCATTTTTTGGGTCGTTCAAGGAGAGAAAACGTTGCGTATAATATTAACATTTTTGGTCCGACATAAGATTAAGGGCTCGTGCCATATTATTGCTCAATATTAGCTAATTTCACTTTTCAATGTTATAGCAAACAACTAGGGGATGGGTATATGTATCTCTCTATTACCTGTTTCGTTGTGTTGTTTAATCCTTTCGCTTTAAATATTCTCTAACCAAAACGAAACTCAAAATTTGTATTGTTTGGAAAGAAAATATCTTTTGAGTTCATTTTTATATAAAAAGTTCGGATTTAGATTTGGTTCTTAGCCAACATCTATATATATTAATATACATAGTTACCACATAGTAAAATCTAATTTACAAGATTGTATGGGTAAATAGTATACATAGTTACCACATAGTAAAATCTAATTTACAAGATTGTATGAGTAAATAGTACTTGTTTTGATGAACTTCAGTTTATACAATTGGGTACTATATCACTCGTACTAAAATTTAAATTGCCGACATACAATAAGTTTGGCTGGATTTTGCTATATAGTTTGCTCAGTATATAAAATAGTACCGATCAAATTATTAAAGAAAAATAAAAAAGATTTGGTTCGGTTTAGTATTATTGCAACGGTTCATGACATTCATTTTTTTACAATTTTAGCTATTACGAGAGGTTTATAACAAACCAAGTTCTATATAAAGGCCCAATTAGATCGAAAAAGCCCATAAGTCTCTATGACGTAAGACAAGTGTAAGAGATTACTTGTAAGCCAATCAAACTAATTCAAGTGGGTTTACTGATTCCAAAACATATCAAAGTTACGGTTCCGTGTAGGCAACCCATTAGAAAACCCTAAATTTAATTATAAATGATTTCTATTTAATTTAATTTTTAAATCTCTTTTAAGCTCTTCTCTTTGATATTGACTTCTCTCTCTCTCTCTCATTCTTCTCCAGTTTCAATCAAAATCAAAAAAAAAAAATTCTCATCAAACCCTAATTTTCGACGAATCGTATTACAGTTTCTTCTTCTTACGGTATGTTTCTTCTCACCAATTCGATATCTTGTTTCAAAAGGGCTTCTGGGTTTTTGTTCCCCTTGATCTAAGACGGTCCAATTTAATCATCGGTCGTGTTTAGAATTATGATCTTTGCTTGCTTGAAATTTGCAGATACCAATCGAATCGCCATGGCTAAGAGTTCTTTCAAGGTTTCTAATCCTCTCGGTTAGTTTCTTCAATCCCTTTCTAATTGAATTTTTCAATTTGTTGAGTTTTTGGTTTTGAATTTAGAAATCAAATCTTGAATATTTTGTCTTTAATGGTTCAGATTTAACCTCTGCATATGGTTTTGATTCTTCCTTTGTTGTTTAATTCTCTGTTTGTGTGTATATGTGTTTAGGTGCTTTACTTGTGACTAATTTTTCTGGTTTTGTTATGTTAATCAGAGGCAAGGATGAGTGAATCTTCTCGAATCAGAGAGAAGTATCCTGATAGAATCCCTGTAAGCAGCTCACGAGTTCGATAGTTGATTCGTTTTACTAAATATAGTTTGAAACATTGTTCTAATTTAACAATCTGGGATTGTGTAGGTGATTGTGGAGAAGGCTGGACAAAGTGATGTTCCTGACATTGACAAGAAGAAGTGAGTATTGGCTTTTTGCTTTATCGTCTCTTATCTCTGTTTTTTCTATTCTTAATCTTGAGAAATATGCTTAACCAAATCGTAAATATATGTTCTTTTAGGTATCTTGTACCAGCAGATCTAACTGTGGGACAGTTTGTATACGTGGTTCGCAAAAGGATCAAGCTTGGCGCTGAGAAAGCTATCTTTGTCTTTGTCAAGAACACATTGCCTCCAACTGGTAAGTGTTTGTTTAACCTCTTTAACACCATTTAAGGTCAAAGTTTTGTTCTTTACCGCTAACTCGGTTTAACTTTGTCTCTTGACAGCTGCATTGATGTCTGCAATCTATGAAGAACACAAAGATGAAGATGGGTTCCTCTACATGACTTACAGCGGAGAGAACACTTTTGGATCTTTTACCGTTGCTTGAATAATCAATCTTTCCATGACTTCGATGTACATACATAAAATCAGGAAGATAACATGTACATTGCTTCCTTAGTCTCTCTGGCTTTGCTTTGGATGTTTGAATCTCTTTGCCTTTTGGGTTTATTAATCTCGTCGGAGACGTTTCTTTTTTTTCTTACCTGCTTTTGCATTTGGTGATTCTACTCGAATAATATTGATGTTGGGGCTAATGAGTCACTTTCATATCAAAGAAATCGATCTTGGAAAACTTGTTCATATCATTACAAAGGCAAAAAGAGTAATACACTGAAGATTGGTAGAAATAGACATCACAAAAGGCCAAAAAACCTTGATGTGATCATTTTAACCACATACAGCTATACAAAAAAGCTAAAGATCCAATAGAGAACCTCATCGCCACCTTCATCTGTTCTAGCATTCTGGAACGAGACTGAAAGGTTTTTTATTGATCTCTTTCTCATCGTAAAGTAAAGTCGACGGATGTTTTGAGGTTTCACCGAACAAGATTCAAGAACGATGTCAAAGAATCAACATCTCTCTTCTCTGATGGATACTTGATAGGTCTTGACGAGTTCTTTGGGAACACAAGTATTGTCGGAAAGCTTCCAAGCTGCAACTCACTTTTCGCAAAATCCTTCTGGTCACCATCAGCTCTAAACTTTGCAACCTTCACGCCATTACCAACCAACTTATCTGCCAATTCATCGAATGAAGCTTCCATTGCCTGACAAAATGGGCACCACGGTGCGTAAAGCACAACGATCCAAGCCTCTTTCCTGTTCTCCAACTTCATCAGATTCTCAATCCCTTGCCTACTCAAGTTCACAACATTCTCGCTATTGAAGATATCCGCGACTGTGGATTTCCCGTTGACATTAGCAGTAGCGTTTCCATTGGTATTCTCCTTGATGTTCCCTTTGTGAAGTCCACACTCTTTAGCCTTGGCATCTTCCCACCACCATCTTCCTTCTCTCTCATGCTGACCGGGCAAAACCGCTCTTGTGCACGGCTCACACCCGATAGAAACATAACCCGCAGCGTGAAGTGTGTTGACAGGAACATCCATAGTCCTCAAGAAATTCCAAACATCGTTCCCTTCAACATTCGCAACTGGATTCCACTTCACCAAACTACCAGCTCCACCATCTAATCCTTCAAACACTGGATCAACCTGAACAACTGGAATCTCTGATCTTGTCCCGGGTGATTGATCTTTCCTCTGACCAGTGATCCAAGCTCGTAAGCCCTTCAAAGCACGCCTCAAAGGTCTCACCTTTCTAATACGGCAGCACTCCTGGTGACCATCTTCATAGAAAGAGAACAAACCCTTGTTCCTAACCAAAGCTTGAACCTCAACAGCGTCAGGAAACATATACTCAATTCGAATACCGTAATGTTTCTCCACGGTATCAAAGAGTCTGTATGTTTCTGGATTCAACCTCCCTGTATCCAAACTGAAGACCCTATAAGGTCTTCCAGTTAAATGAGCATACTCAATAAGAGCAACATCTTCAGCTCCACTGAAACCAAACAAAAACAAATCTCCAAATCAGCAAACTAAAAGAATCATTCCTTTATAGTATTCTTATGATCAATTAATTACCTAAAGGCTATAGCAATGTCATTCCCATATGTCTCAAGAGCTTTATCCATAATTTCAAGAGGAGAAGCATTCTCTAGCCTCTTGGCAAGTTCTTCAAAATCTTCTACTTCCACAACATCTAGCTTCTCTGTTTTGTAACCAAGCACAAGATCATTAGCATAAAACATAAACAAGCTTTTTAACAAAACGAAACAAACCAAGATCAAAACGAGAAACTTACCAGAAGCCATCATGTGATCCTTTGTAATTGATTGCACATTTAGAGCTTTCACGGATGATCGCTTCCCAGACAGCCTCAGAGACGCCGCAGAGACATTTGTACGATCCAATAACCTCAACGAACCGATTAGTGGTGCTGTAATGAAGAATCAAACAACAAATTGGATTAGATTCAACATTGATCCCTATTTCTATTTTCTTAAAAATATTAGATTCCACATTTCTAATATTTCCCACGAATTGATATCAAAAATATTACCTTTGAGCTCTGAAGAGGGGAAGCTAGAGCTTGAGATCACAGAAGAAGATGAAGAAGAAACGTTGATAGCAAGAGCCATTTTCACACCAAACCAAAGCTCTTCAAGATATGATCTTAAGGTTTGTTTTGTTGTTTAATTTTGTTTTGTGTTTTAAGAGATCTGTGAGAGAAATAGGCTGATTATAAAAGAAGCAGGTGAAAAATAGATTCATTGAACCTAGACATCTTTTTTAGGTGGCGGCATTAGCATTTTCTATATTATCATTGCTTCCGTCACTTTTGGTCGTGTGGTAGAGAAAGCTAGTCAACATTAGCCTAACATTTCTCTATTAGGCTTAACACAAAACACACTTCAATCCTAAATTACATTTTTACACGCTTAACGGTTTTGATTTTCTAATTTCTAGATCCTATCTTTATAGTATAACCAAAATTACAAATCATCTATTTGTTACGACATTTATCTTTCTAAAAATCCAAAAAAAATCCGTGTAAATGCGTAATCTAGTAATTTCATAAACCATTTCTTTTTACAGTCATTCGATTCTAACGACAACAATGCTTAGGTTCCATCAAACAAAAAGACCAGTACAAATGCAAAGATGAGCTCTCATATCCCAATTGCCACCAAGATTGCATAACTATGAAACAACAAGAGTTATGATTATTCAATTTCATTCAGCCAAGACGAACAGTAATAATCTCATCGGTGGATCAATCACTTGTCTTCTTTAGCTTTCTCTTCTTCCTTCATCTTCTTATCCCACCTTCTCTTCTTGTAATCAAGTAGCATCTGAGGCATCTTCTGCATAAGTTTCACCGTGTTCTCCCTTTTCTCAGCTGAGATTCTGTCGCATTTATGCCCTTTCCTCTTTGTCCTCATCGCTTTTCTCTCTGGATCGTAAGGCCAGTCTTCTCCATTTGTCAACACTTCTTTCCTCAGCATCGCTCTCCTACGAGCGCTTATCCCCAACGGTTTCCATGCTCCCATCTCCCAGTAACCCCACACGCCTTTGGTCAGCTCGGTCCTGTATTTATCGAGTTTCGCCCTCCATGGATATTGAAACCCTGTCACTGTCTTTGCCACACTTTCTGCAGCTTTCCCAGCCATAGCTTCTGTAGATAAACAGAACACAAGTCTCTAAAGATTATATCTCTCACATAGCAGCAGTTGAAATTGTAACCAAATAAGCTCAAATCTTAGTTACAGAACCTCTGAAATAAGAGCATCATTGATAAGTTTAATCCAATAGCTCAATTATATATCTTCAGAAACTTAGCCAAGAAACCTCTAAACTTATACATTCCTTGTTAACTCGTAGATTCAAAAGCACACAAGTACACTGACATTCTCGATATCAGTCCAAATTGTGATCCAATAGCTCAAACTTAGTTATGAACCTCTAAATGTGTATCAACATTGATAACTGTAACTTGGTTAAGAAACCTCAAATCTTATACATCTTCTTCTTAACTTAAAGCAGAGGAGATGATCAGGCAATGAAATGATAATCATTGTTAAAAACACAAACTTTGAAGCCAAAGAAAGATTTGGTGATGAAAAAAATCATCGAGTAAGTGAACTTGACATAACATTTCTTACAAATTTACCTCAGACTGGAAAAAAAACACGAACTTTGGAAATGTGATGCAAATGGATTCAGTTCCTAACAGAGCTAATTCTACTTGAAACCCATGAAACTAGGGTTCATAATAAGCTCAATGTAGCGATTCCGTAACTGGGTTTCGTTACCTATACACATTTACAATTCCAAATCTAAGTCACTAACTAAGGTGATTAAATCCTCTCTCGAGTACAGTAGAACGAGAGCAATTTAGGCATCTTTTACTTAATCCCTCATAGTACCGAATCTACTATGGAAATGAAAATGAGAGAGAACTTACAGTAAAGACGAAACCTTTTCAGGCGAGGAAGATCGGAGAAGCTTTTGATCGTGAGCAAACTTTGAGAACGCGGCGCAGATGAAAGATGAACACAGACCAGGGAGGGTTTGGTTTTGGGCCTTTTGGGCCTGTTGGTGTTAGTAACCAACCTTCTCCTATGTTTTTATTTTCCAAAATATTTTTTTTATTTTTATGAATTTGTTCGTGTAAATACAGTAAAACCTCTATAAATTAATAATGTTGGGATCATGGAAATCTATTAATTTATAAAGGTATTAATTTATCGATAAATTATTAATTTATAGAGAGATATTCCTAATTTGGAAAATATTTTCAAAACAATATTTAAAAATAAGATTTAATCATGATAATTAGTATTTTATATATTCAATTACAAATAAAATAATAATAATTATGTATTAAAATAGAATGCTAACTATTTTTCATATAGTAAAATATTAGATATAAAATCTAACAAAAACTAATGTGTCTATATATACATATATTTTGAAAATTTTACCTAATTATTAATTTATAATATTGATGAGACCATATATTTGCGAAGGATTTTCAAAAAAATTATTATCTTATTATTTTATCGAAATATGTCTAAAATTACACTGGTCCCAACTTGGGACCGGAGAAATTTATTAATTTATAGAGATTATTAATTTATCGAGTATTAATTTATAAAGGTTTTACTGTATTATGTTTATACATCAAGACACCATAACAAATTATTTTTGATTTATTAAACTCGATCACAAAATTCAACCGTAAATTTGTATAAGTCCTAGTGGTCCATGTAGATTAACAACGAGCAAAGAAATTTGTTTCCCAGTATTGAAAAAAGTTGTATCAATATTGTCTAGTTGAAAAGTTCAAAATCAATAATAAAAAGTATAATTTTCTTTGTTTTCGTATAAGTAAATGTTCCTTTTAAAAACTTATACTACTCCGAGGATTACATTACATGATACATGTCTTTCTTTGTTCGACAGAACACTCCAAAATAAAAGTCTTCTTGTTAAAGAAAAAAGAAGAAGATAAGAGTCTTCATCCTTCAAGTCACTCAAACAAAATCATTGAATTGAATCATACGTTTTTGGTTTGCTAATTACTTAACACTTGATGTTTCTTTTTTTTTCTCAGTTATAAGCTCAATAGTTTTGTATGCGTTGCTGCCCTATAAACCTAGACAAATAATGGATCAAAATTCTAATAGTTTGTATTAATGAACTCACGTGACTGATACAAACAGTTAACATGATGTCGGAACAAAATAAAGCACTAACGAGATCCAAAGTTACAATTAGATCACTACATACATACACATTATTGGCAACAAGGAGACCGTCGGTGTACGTATGGCAATATGCCAATATGTACAATACTAATCATTCATTTTGAGAAATGACGAACCTACTCCACCACGTAAACGAGTAAAATAAATAAAACCTGTATAAGAAACTAAACTTATCGATTAAATCACTCAAATTTTCATAGTTGAGAACAATTACAATTTATAAATAAGCTAAAAACGTATAATTCACAAAATCTGCATATGACTTTTCTTCTACCGAAATTTTCGGAACTCGCTTATGACAATGTCAATAACCATTTCGGAACTCGCTTATGACAATAACCATTAACACTTTTGTCGAATGTACACATATGATTACAAAACATGACCACATTTTTACATTCACACATGCAAGAACTTTGGTTTATTTCCATTGTGATATATAATAAAACGACTTCAAAAAACCAATTATATTTGTTAGTTTGTCTTTTACTTTCAATCTTTGCTATCATAGAACTATAGATAGTGCAGAATGGTACTCGAGCACGTGATAACGCAGAAACTTGTTTCTTCCTCTTCATATCCACCATACACCCTCATCTTAATAGCTCTGATCTGTGATCTCCACCGTTGATAAAAGCATTGACTTCGAGTATAATTTAATCCGACGGTTCCATTATTCAATTCAAAGACTTAGCAGAGACACATGATGTATACCTTCATGACAGCTCACACGCCGCGTTTCAAAAAAAACATCTTCACTTGCGGACAATACGGAGCGATGGTCGATGTTTACTACTCTCTCTTTACCCAATGGAGTCCCAAACATTTTTTAATAAACTAATTTCAACTTTTATTATGACTGAGATCTAAAAAGAGTAAAAAGGCAGAGAATCTTATGACAAATTTAATATTTTTTTTTACTATTGTATAACTAACTATTATCACATAATTTTCTAATCCAAGCTGTTACACTAAATTGGTAATATACTAGCTTTCTGAATCTAATTGAACTAAATTTCATTTAGGAAAAAAAACAAATAAATATATTGTTATGTGTCCTATATTTTTTTTAAAAAAAATTGTACATGTAATTGTTCATTACTTAATAATATATTTAATTAAATATATGTCTATTAAAAATAAAATATTTCATCAAAATAGAAAAACTTATTAATTACGTCGGTGCCACTGCCACTAATATTTAAGAGAGGGCATCATTTAATAGATTCTACAAAATCCTCTGTATATGGATCTACACCTCTTCTCAGTCTGAGACTCAACACATCAATATAATCCAAAGCCCCAAAGAAAGAAACCAGAAAGAAAGAGAGAAAGAGAAAACAAAAATGAGAGATTCTTGTAAAGTCTCTGTAATTCTTCTTCTGGTTCTAATCAATGGTGTCTTTGGAGACAACCCTTATAGATTCTTCACCTGGAAAATAACTTATGGTGACATTTATCCCCTTGGTGTTAAACAACAGGTACTGCTTTTATAACTTGTAGTTTCTTTCTTCACATTGTTGTCTCTGTTTGTTTTCTTGAGAACATCTTGGTAATATAAACATTTTCTCGGTTCGGGTTTGGTTTTGTGGGAATGCAGGGGATATTGATAAATGGGCAGTTTCCAGGACCTCACATTGACGCAATCACGAATGATAATATCATTATCAGTGTTTTCAATTACTTGAAAGAACCTTTCCTCATGTCTTGGTAAGTTCGTTCTTTCACAAATCTTTTAACAAGTATATATCCTGGAAAATTGAATATTCTTTCACAGAAAAAAGTAGCTATAAAGTTTATAATATAGAGTATAGGATAAGATCTCAACTTTTGATATTGGACTCTTGTTTTTAGTTGTCTAAACGAAATGCAGCTTTAAGACACAATGTGCTTTGAGTTCATCTCATCTCACACATTCTCGATACTTACATAGATCTCTTTTGGTGGTATCTTTTGATGAACAGAAACTTAGGTTCTAGCGTGAGTTAAAATGCTAATATTTTACTTCTTGCAATAATAAAATTATAAAAGATTTGAAGTACTTCCTTACTAATCAAATTACAATTGTTTGTAGTTAGTTAATAAAAGGAGTCGTCACTTTAAATCAGAAAAATCTACATCTCTAGCGTTTCAAGAATTGCAAGTAAAGCAATGCAAACTTATTTTTGTTTTACTCGATTCGAGAATGTCAATTTCTTTTTCTTTATTTGAGTCATAAAAGCTTTTTCTTACACCCGACATAATTGGCTGTCAAAGATACAATATTTATATATTTTTAATATAAATATGCTATAAGAAAAAATAAAAAATATTCGAGTCGATCCATACAAACTAGTCACATGCGATGGACACATGTGAGCTTTAAGTGTCAGTGCCTCAGTGGGAAATAAAAGGGAAGCCATTAAAAATAACTTTTAGGTCCCTAATCTATTTAAAATATCCAAAATGTAACCCCACATTTTATCCGTTCGAAAATGTCCCTAATCTTCAAAGAGATGTCTCTTTTCTTAGGAACGGAGTGCAACAGAGGAAGAACTCATGGCAAGATGGAGTCATAGGGACAACATGTCCAATCCCACCTGGCAAGAACTTTACTTACATTATCCAAGTCAAAGATCAGATCGGTAGCTTCTTCTATTTCCCTTCTCTTGCCTTCCATAAAGCCGCTGGTGCTTTTGGAGCCATCCGTGTCTGGAGCCGTCCTCGTATCCCTGTCCCGTTCCCTTCCCCTGACGGTGACTTCTGGCTTCTCGCTGGAGATTGGTACAAAACCAATCACTATGTAAGTACACTCTTTTTTGCCCTAGTAACTTTGACTTCTACTGTAAGAAACAAACAACACGGTTTTACGATTAGGTTTAGTTTTTAGGTATTTCTTCATATAGGCTTTGTAGAAATTGAAGCCAAAATTAATCGATTGATAAATAAATTTTGGTTCCTTTTTGGTTTAGTCCTGTTTTGGTTTTTAGCAAAATCTCATTGTTTTGGTTTTTTAGGTTTTGAGACGTCTCTTGGAAGCTGGAAGGAACCTACCAATGCCTGATGGAGTTCTCATCAACGGTCGCGGTTGGGGAGGCAATACCTTCACAGTTCAACCCGGTAAGACCTACAGATTCAGAATATCAAACGTTGGGGTGGCGACGTCATTGAACTTCAGAATCCAAGGACACGCGATGAAGCTTGTTGAAGTAGAAGGCTCTCACACTGTTCAAAACATCTACACTTCACTTGATGTTCATTTAGGACAGTCTTACTCTGTTCTCGTGACGGCTAACCAAGCGCCTCAAGATTATTACATCGTCATCTCCTCTAGGTTCACACGAAGAGTCCTCACCACAACTGCGATTCTCCATTACAGTAACTCGAGAAGAGGCGTCTCTGGTCCTGTTCCAAATGGTCCCACTTTGAGCATCGCATCTTCATTGTACCAAGCTCGAACTATCAAGTAAGAAACATGTTTCTTGGTGTACATGTCACCGCTATTGTTTTTAGAGATTCGAGTTTTCTAATGTTGTGTATTGATGTGATAAATAGGAGGAATCTAACAGCGAGTGGACCGAGACCAAACCCGCAAGGCTCGTATCACTATGGTCTGATCAAACCAGGCCGTACCATCATACTCGCCAACTCAGCTCCTTGGATCAACGGAAAGCAAAGATACGCCGTGAACGGTGCCTCCTTTGTTGCGCCCGACACACCATTGAAACTCGCAGATTACTTCAAGATTCCAGGAGTTTTTAACCTCGGAAGCATCCCAACGAGTCCCTCAGGTGGAAGCGGAGGGTACCTCCAA